TGCCGCATCTCCATCCACCACCTTTCCAGTTTGTCGGTATCTCATGGGTGCAGAGTGATGTCTAATTGTTGCTTTAGCGTGTGTTTTTCTGATGACTAACACTGAATATCTCTTCGGTGCCTTGGTAGAGTTTTGGGTCTGCCTCTACACACTGCTTTCCATTCCCTTTGCCCATTTTTTTCTGCTGGGGTTGTCTTTTCACTGGTGATTTATAGGAGCTCCTTGTGCATTCTTGACATTTAATCTTTTGTTTGAAATACTTTCCCCCAGCTCCCACACCTACAGGTAGGCCTTTTGCCAACCACTAAAGCAAATTAAGCATAATAAGAAATGAAGAGGCCAGGCGCGGTGGCTCACGCCTGCAATCCCAGCACTTTGGGAGGCCGAGGCGGGCAGATCACAAGGTCAGGAGATTGAGACCACGATGAAACCCCGTCATTACTAAAAAATACAAAAAATCAGCTGGGCACAGTGGTGGGTGCCTGTAGTCCCAGCTACTCAGGAGGCTGAGGCAGGAGAATGGTGTGAACCTGGGAGGCAGAGCTTGCAGTGAGCCAAGATCACGCCACTGCACCCCAGCCTGGGTGACAGAGCAAGACTCTGTCTCAAAAAAAAAAAAAGAAATGAAGAAAAGGGGGGGCAAAGGAAGTAAAGTAAAATGGGAAGTCAACTGTTGAGTTTTAAACTAATACACTAAAGTAGAAGATGAAAATCACAGAAAAGGCCAGACATAGTGGCTCACACCTGTAATCCCAGCTCTTTGGGTGGCCGAGGTGGGTGGATCACTAGAGCTCAGGAGTTCGAGACCAACCTGTGCAACACCAAGAAACCCCGTCTTTACAAAAATACAAAAATCGGGCAGGCGTGGTAGCGCACGCCTGTGGTCCCAGCTACCAGGGAAGCTGAGGTGGGAGGATCACTTGAGCCCAGGAGGCCGAGGCGGCAGTGAGCCCATATTGTACCACTGCACTCCAGCCTGGGTGACAGAGCTAGACTCTGTATCAAAACAAAACAAAAAGAAACAAAAGAAGATCACAGAAGAAAATATTCATAGAACCACAACAACGAAACTAAAGATTTTTTGTACCTAAATGTCCAAAATATAAGTTAAACAAGCAGAGCATAAAAAAAGACCAAGATGTTAACATAAATGTCGAGGAAAAAATACTTTTGAAGAACATTAAAAATCAACACAACTGCATTCTTTTTAAAACTTCACGGCAAAAAGGAAAATAATGCAGAGGTCAGAGAGGTGGAGGTTAAAGGGGCGAGGCACACCCATGAGGAAAAACAAAGAATATCAAAGAAAAAACACAGGGACAGCAGACACCAGGCAAACTGAAGACCGCACCTGAAAACAGAACAAGCCTAAACTGCGGGGAAGAAAAGTAACCAAGAGAAAGGCTAAAATAAACAGCCTGAGGGTGAGCTGGTAAGGCCTTATCAGCCAGCTCCTGCTCTCCTGGGGTCTGGGGCCATGCAGAGGCTCATGGCAGTGGTGGGGACGCAGGAAGGATCTCAGGTGACCTTTGGGTCCTATATGGGTCCGCCCATCAGGCTGAGGCCAGCAAAGAGCCCAGCTAAGACATTCATACTTGGAGCCACTGATGAGGCCATGGTCAAGAAGCCATGGGCTGGGTGTTCACCTGGCTACTGAGATCCTGGGGTATTAAATCCTGTACCTGCGCCACTTCTCCCTTGTGAACCTCCCAGCCTCCCTAGCCTGCTCATTGCCTTCAGGAGAACTCACAAGTAGGAGTGGTGGCCACGTGTGCCAGAGGGCCTGGGGGAACGCTGCACTGCGAATCTCTTTGGCCACACTTAAGCAGGCAAGGAGACACCCTGTTCCAGCAAGTCCAATGCCACCCAAGAGTACAAAAGGGAACATTGCCAGGATTCACCAGAGGCGTCATCCTTGCTTGCTGGAGGGAGCAATGACTGTGAGGACCCAGGGACAAGCCCTCTCCAGACCGCCTGCCACGCAAACTCCACCTGGTCATCCACAGTAGCCAGCTGTTGGTGCAATTATTTGATTGGCTATTTCCAGTTCCAATGACTCAGAAAAAAAGAAGAAAAAAAAAACAGATTTAACTGACAAGAAATCCAGAGTTCCATCATCCTATTTCATCACAAATTAGAAGGCTGAGGAGAAAATCCAGATGAATCATTGCAGAGCGGAAAGTATCTGATCTTATCTTGAGGTGAAGAAGGGATATGGGGCTGAGACCTGCCAACTCGAATTCTTCCAGGGGATAGAAATGTCCCCCAGCACTGCCAAAGTTCACTTGAAACCCAGGTGGGTGCTTGGCAGTTCAGATCCACTTCCCAGAACGATGATCTTGGTGCTGATGCTGCCAGATGCCCTGCCTGGCCCACTCAGCCACAACCCAGTAGTTCCCAGACTTAAGGATTACATCAGTTTTTGTTTCATCATTTTGAATTGGTTTTTAATTGGGTGACAGATGAACAACTGTTGAGTCCAAAGAAAACATTAAAAAATAAAACCACCATCTACTATCACCATCATTTCCTAAAAGCATCTTAGCACCAAGAAGACTAAAGGATGGCCGGATACGGTGGCTCACGCCTGTAATCCCAGCACTTTGGGAGGCCAAGGCGGGTGGATCACTTGAGGTCAGAGTTTGAGACCAGCCTGGACAACACAGTGAAACCCCTTCTCCACTAAAAATACAAAAAGTAGCTGGGTGTGGTGGCAGGTGCTTGTAATCCCAGCTACTCAGGAGACTGAGGCAGGAGAATCACTTGAACCCGGGAGGTGGAGGTTGCAGTGAGCCAAGATCATGTCATTGCACTCTAGACCAGGTGACAGAGCAAGATTCTGACTCAAAATAAATAAATAAATAAATAAATAACACTAAAGGATGGTCTTTTATAGAAAATAAACTTAAGCTTTATAAAATGCTCATTACTACAGATTACTCATTTTTGCAGGACTCAGGAAAATTCATAGTGGGCTGACATTGATGCCTGCTGCCACAACCTGCGTGGGGTCGAATCCCAAGCCCGCAGATCTGTGTTCTGGGGAAACACATAAGGGGGATTGGGCTGGGGTTTAAGCACACTTGTGAAGAAACAATTTATCAGCTTTCACTCAGACCTGACGCTCTGATCTCCCCGGCAGGGGCTACCTGTCCACCAGGCTGCATGTCTTCACATCTTGAACTCCTGTCCCCAGGATTCCCAAGCCCACCATGTCATCAGAACCACCCGAGATGGGGCTTTTACAACTTACAGCTTCCCAGGCCTCACTGCCAGACATCCAGGCTTGTGGCTCCAGGATGGAGTCTCATGGTTTTCCAGATTTAGGCCCCTTGGCCTGAGCTTCCCTCCCCCAGCCACCCAACCCTCTGTCTGGTCAGCAGCAGACGTCCTTGCTCAGACTAGATGTGTCAGCCACACGCTGTCAGCGCCGGGCCCTGCCAAACAGAGCTGAGGGCAGGCAAGGAAACACCCTGTTCCAGCAAGTCCCTGGAAAACAGAGCTGAGGGCAGGGCTGGGGTGCTGGGGACAATCCAGGACAGAATGGCAGGGCCTGGCCCATGAAACTGGAGCAGCACTGGTAGCAGGCTGTGCTGACACCAGGACAAAACAGTGGAGATGGGAGCATGGAGCTGAGGCACTAAGCAGCTCTCAAGTTCATGGCCCACGTGAAATGCTCAGCAGTGAGGTACAGCCAGGGAAGAACATGAGAGCGGTCTGTCCTTTCACCAGGAAAGCATCTTATCATGGGGCAGTCTCTGTAGATACAGCCCTGGCCTTAACAACCCCTACTGGACCTCTACCATCTCCTGCCACCCTGTCCTTCTCGCGTGCCCAGCTCCATCCTGGTCCACTCATCTGGTTATTTGTTGTCAAGCGTCTCCACCTCATTCCTGTGCCATGCACATGGCCTGAGGGCTCAACATTTGCTGGCTGGACTGAGCAGTGCGCTGGCTGAACCAGGGGCTCCCCATGACAACAATGTCCAACCCCTGGGGAAACCAGCTGTGGCAGAGAACTGCTCTGCAAGCCACCAACACAGAAAGCTGCCATCTCTGGGCCTACAGGGCACCACTGCCTCCATGCTTTCCAGCGCCAGCTTCTCTCTGTCCTCTCACTTGCTCCAAAGGGAAGACACAGCAATGCTGTGGGTAATTGCACTAGCAGTATCTGAAGACCTGTGTGGACCCCAAAGGGACTAATTCTGTGGAACTACTAGTACTGTGAGGTACTAGGCCCTGCTGTCACATCTGTGGGCTGACAATGGGAACAGGGATACAGATCTGCAACAAACAAAGTCAAAAGCTCTCATCTCTCACACCCAGGCTGGGCCCCACTCCCTGGCGAGTTGTGTGGTCCCAGCCTATTGTTCACCACTACTGTAAAGGGGACTCCCCTCGGGCCCAGGATTTCGCAGTTGCTCCGGACAGCGAGGACCTGTCCCACCCATCGCAGACTGTGACATAACACAGGACACAACACTGGGAGGTGTCCCTGGGGGAGCGCTGCCCTCTGAGAAGTGGAGGGACAGAGGGGAGGCATGTGCTCAGCATCAGGGGCCCAGGGGTAGGGGCAGCATGCAGGGACAGGCTTGCCTCTGGGTGCTCCCTCCAGACTGTCCGGGCTCCCGGTGGACTCTGGTCTCCAACCTGAGGGTGTGAACCCTGTACCTCCCTTTCCACCACCACATAAGCTTTGTAGGATCAGCCCCAGTCCTAAAGCCAAGCTTGAAAAATAATGTTTCTGACCTCTCTACAGGGAGATCCCAATTGGAAATGGCAAGAATTAGCACCTCTTTGGGACTTCTTTTAATGTCCCACAGTTTACTCTAATCAGGTCTTGAGGTCATTCAGTCACATCATCTTGCTTTGGGGGGCTTCCTGTGTCCCTGAGATCCCAAAGCTGCTGTATGCCACAGCATTAAGTTTCTTAGCTAATGTCAGGCCCTCACTCCAAACAATTCATTAGAACATCTTCACATATAAACCATGAGAACCAGCTGTGGGAGGGAATGTATTTACTTTAGGTATAAAGGTTTACTATTATTAACAAGTTATCACTATTATTTACATGTTTATAAAATGGAAATAAAAATGACATACACATTTGGTGCCAAAAGTGGCACATCCAAACTAATATCAGTACAAAAATAAATTTTCAAGCTATGTGTTTTTAAAATAAAGGTCATTGAAACAGTAAGGGGGAAAAAATCTGCATCTGGCATGTGTTGAAATGCAATCATCATCACAGCAAAGCAGCCCTGGGGCAACAAAACCAGTGCCTGCTGGAAGAACCACCCCCGCGTGCTCTTGCAAGACGCCAAGCAAACAAACAAAAAAACAAATATACCAGTTATGTTCCTGAGCTACAGAAGTTTAGGGCGTCTAAACTGTTGTGAATTCCTGCTAAAGAGGAGACCCTGTGGGATCGGAACTGATGAACTCTCCTGAGTGCTCAGCTAGTGTGGCACCAGGACCTGGCACTGCACTGAGAAGACGCTAAGCCCACCTGTGAAACAGAAATCCTCAGCTAACACAAAACAGCGCACAAGTCCTCTCTGTCAATCACCAATCCCTTGCAAATCTCCTGGCTGCAGATAAACAGGGACAAGGGCTGAGGACAGACGGAAGCCACTGGGTTTGAGAGCCCCTGTGCCCATCAGACGTGCCTCTTGGTGGTTTCGGCAGAGATCCCCGATGTTTCGTTCCTTCGTAGATACATGCTTGTTCACAAACTTGGCAGCGGACCTCATTGGTTAACACAGCCGTGGCCCCAGCAGGGAAAGCAAAACCAGCCCAGCAAACCATTCCTCTGTCCACCCCACATGGTATTTCAGCCTTCACTTTCCTCCTTGTTTCCCATAGAGCTGGGCCAGGACTGCATGCCTGCTGGAAGTGGCATGCTGGGTTAGTGAGCGTGTTGAGTGAGCCAACTCCCACTCTGCCCGCTGCAGCACAGAAGGATGTCTGCCCATGCACAGAGTCCTCCAGGATCCCAGCAAGGATGCAAATGCTGTGGGCAGTAGGAAGAAAGGGCTAATGAACAGGCCGCAGCCCCCTTCAGAGCAACCAAACATTCTACAGGAGCTGGTGCCAGCTCACCCCACCTGGGGCCAGGGGCAGCAGCATGGAGGAGAGGACACCAGCAGTCCCTGCAGCTGCAGCTGTGGGCTCCTCTCACTGGTCCTGGACCTTGGCCCTTTTGGCTTTCAGGGACAGGTGCTGCAAGAGAAGAGAAGACACTCCAGTTGGGGTTGATTAGACAAAGAAAGCAGACTGCAACATACTCCCCATATGAATGACCACATCAAATCTTCCATCTGGTCCACACCTTCCCAGTAAGTGCTGTTCATGAAAGAGCATGGAAGGAAAAAGCCCAAGTGGCCAATGAAGAAGCAGACCTTAAGTCAGTCGCCAGCAACCCGAGGCCCAAGCCACAGTGGCTGAAGCTGGTTATATAGGGCTCTGCAGAAGCTGTCAAGACAAGGTTTTCTTTTTGAGACACGGCTCTCCTTCTGCCCCAGTCTAGAGGACAGCACCGCAGCCAGACACCTGTGCTCAGGAGACTGGGCTCAGGCTGGAAGTGACCTCAAATCTCCAGGAAGTTCCTGACAACAGTCAAGAAAAAGTATCCTCTCTTTAGGAACAAGGAAGTCAATTTACCAAGTGTCTCAATACTCCAGGTACACATGGAGTACCTGGCTCAAGGATGGAGATAAAGACACGGCCTCTGCCCACAGGGAGGGTACAAGCTTGCTGGGAAGACAGAAAGGACACCTCCTAGTGACACTTTTTTTTCCCCCCAGAAATGTCACTTTCTACCATTATGAATAACATGAAGCTCAACATTATAATCATAGGCATCAGATAATAGGATTGGAAGATGAAGTATTTTTTACATTCTAAAGCAAAGCTGAAAGTGGCAGAAATCCTTAAATATGCCTTTGAGGCAGGGTGTGTGAATATAAGCTTTTAACGAAAGACCTCCCTCCACTCATCAACTGGGATACACCCGACAGCCCATTACTAATCATCAATAACCAAGAGATCCCTGAGCCGTGCCACCTAACACATAGTGAGAGCCTCACACGAGAGTGCCCACCCCGCCTGCTCTGGGGCCGGCGTGCCCACTCCTTAGCACATCCATACGGCCTCACAACATCAAGCCACATCGCCCCCAGAGAGAACTGCAGGCCCTGACAAAATGGAGACACAGCGCACCACCAAGTGTGACGTGAGAGACAACAGAGCGAACGGGACCCAGGTCTAAATGAGCTACGAGAACTCAGACTTTCTATCTGCTTACTCCTGAGGGAGGATCACTACAGACTCTTGCAAAGGCCACATTAAAGGAGTTTTCCCTAATAATGAAGATATCTCTGAGAATAAGGAAAAATAATTTAAAAGCCAGAAGGCAAATCTCTGAATAGGCCACCCCATTCTTCCCCTGTCTAGCTGTAGGTCTTGCTGAATTTCTCTGAATTCTCTCCTCTCTACACATCACCTGATATAACCCCTACAGCTAATGTTAGACATCCATGGCCTTAGCTTGGGGATGGGAGATGACGCTGTTGTGCCTGTGGGGCCATTTTTGGTGCTTGTTTCTGGGAAGAATGTTGAATATAAACAAAGCTGACTCTGAACCATTTCAGGCCTCCACACAGGGTGAGAGCAACATTCCGAAAAACAGCAGTGATGGAAAGTCTCCAAAGGTGCCAGGAACAGAGCTGCAAATGATCTGTGGGTTGTGGATGGTTGCGAGGCACTGCACTGTGTTCAACAAAGGAACATCTACCGTACATGGGCAACCCCTGCAGATCTGGAGGCTCTCTGAGAAATCAATCTGCTTTGGACAAGTTAATAATAGAAGTGCCCTTGGACTATACAGTTAAGAAATAACACAAGTTTCTCTGTGGTTTGGGGACCATCGCTATACAATGAGGTTGTTGTACTAGGTGATTTCTTTTTTTTTCGACAGAGTCTCGCTCTGTCGCCCAGGCTGGAGTGCAGTGGCATGATCTCGGCTCACTGCAGCCTCCACCTCCTAGGTTCAAGTGATTCTCCTGCCTCAGCCTCCCAAGTAGCTGGGATTACAGGCACATGCCACCATGCCCGGCTAATTTTTGTATTTTTAGTAGAGACGGGGTTTCACCATGTTGGCCAGGCTGGTTTCGAACTCCTGGCCTCATGTGATCTGCCCGCCTCAGCCTCCCAAAGTGCTGGGATTACAGGCGTGAGCCACCATGCTCAGCCGCACTAGGTGATTTCGAAAGGTCTGTCACAGCCTCTCTAAAAATACTCTGATGACAGTGGAGGTGATGGGCTTAAAAAAAAAAAAAAGCCATTTGGAGAGAAGAGACAGATGCAGAAATCTGGGCTTGTCATTTTCTTCAAACTTCTGAAGCTATTTGCTCTTTAATTTTGTGGGTTTGACCTAAAGAAACTGGAATTTTGAGCTGAGAAGGGAAAATGACTCAGCTTCTGGGCTAATTCTGTTTCCAAGAGTCTAAATGAATCCAAGACAATTTCAGGCTTATCCTTCTCTGGCTGTCTGCATCTTCTCACTCGAACAGGCACTTTGACCACTGCACCATTCCTCTTTCAACCACTAGTTTACCTTTCTAATCCCTTCTCTTGGACTCCTGAAGTCTGCTGCTTTCCACCTGAGAGGTTTTGAAGGAAAAGACTTTCTTTCACCAGGTTTATTCTTATCAACCTAATTCAGCAAAGACAACACTCTGCATTTTTATCAGTCCCTGCAGGCTGATGTGCTTTCTAGCTGAAATATCTGAATTGGGATGTGTGAAGAACTATAAAGGCGTGAAATGGTTTTTGTTTGATTAGATAAAAATTAAATATTATAAAATTTTGAGAGGGCAATTTCCCTTGACTTTGCTGGAGTGGGAGAGATGGTGGAGATTCTTCCATTTACAGGATCACAAATTCAAATGTCTCCAAGAGTGGAGCAGGCAAGTAAGCAAGTGGGGCTGTGGCACCTGGCGATGTCACTGACAGCAGGTAGCCACCCCTAAGCCCGTGATGCCACCACGCAGGAACTCAGGCTTAGTGTTACCAGACTAAACATGTCTTTCAAGATAAACTAGAAATTCATGTTTAATATGAAATCTCCCAATTTTTAAATGTGACAATCAATTCAAATAACGCTTTGAAAACACTGTGTAGTCCAATTCTGGCCCTCATGGAGAAAAAGGTTTCAGACTTTCCCTTCTGCTGTAAACAACAGTAAACTTGGGCAAAATATGTAAAGCAAGTATTTTCAGGCAACAAACAGCACAGGGCTGTAACCCTTTTTAAAAAGGAGCTGGGCATGGTGGCTCACACCTGTAATCCCAGCACCTTGGGAGACCCAGGCGGGCAGATCACCTGAAGTCAGGAGTTCAAGACCAGCCTGGCCAATATGGAGAAACCTTGTCTATACTAAAAATACAAAAATTAGCCAGGCATGGTGGTGCGCACTTGTAATCCCAGCTATTAGGGAGGTTGAGGCAGGAGAATCACTTGAACCCAGGAAGCAGAGGTTGCAGTGAGCTGAGATTGTGTCACTGCATTCCAGCCAGGATGACAGAGCAAGACTCTGTCTCAAAAATAAATAAATAAAAGTAAAAAAGGAACTGGTGGGCATGGTGGCTCACACCTGTAATCCCAGCAATTTGGGAGACCAAGGCAGGAGGACCACTTGAGCCCAGGTATTCGAGACTAGCCTGGGCAACATAGTGAAACCCCATCCCTAAAAAAATTTTTTTTAATTAGCTCAGGCCAGGCCTGCTGGCTCATACCTGTAACCCCAGCACTTTGGGAGGCTCAGGTGGGTGGATCACTTGAGACCAGGAGTTTGAAACCAGCCTGGCCAACATGGTGAAACCATGTCTCTACTAAAAATACCAAAAAAAAAAAAAAAAAAAAAGAAAGAAAGAAAGAAATGAGCCAGGCGTGGTGGCACACACCTGTAATCTCAGCTACACGGGGGCTAAGGCAGGAGAATCGCTTGACCAGGAAACGGAGGTTGCAGTAAGCCATGATTGTGCCATTGCACTCCAGCCTGGGCGACAGAGTGAGACTCTGTCTCAAAAAAAAATAAAAATAAAAATAAAAGAGAAATAGTTTGGAAGAACAAAAGGAGAAAAAGCGATACCTTTTTTTTTTTTCTTATGAGGTTAGGGGGATTTATTTTTAATTGCACTTCACTATGAATTAAACGCTAGAGTGCTTTCTCAGAATGTTTTGGGGATATGGTAATAGCCTTTCCACCTATGCATCACTAGGAGGAACACACATAGGGCATTAAGTTGGAGAAAAAGAGTACATTTAAAAACATGGAGAGGCTGCTAACAGGTGGCTGGGGCACAGGCTCTGTTCATTCCTACCGTTCCTTGTTGATAAAAGTGTGGAGCCAGCTCCAACAGCCAGGCCGATTCAATGGCAGTCACATCTCTCATGTAATACTTGGAGGTCTGTATAACTTCGTTATAGATAACCCTGAAATGAGAAAGAAACATGAGCTAATTTCCCCCTCTTCTGATGACAGTCAGGAACCACCCTCTTATGATGACAGTCAGGATCCACAGTTACACATGCTGTTTCCTTTAACAGGTTCTACTCCATGTGCCAGACACTGTGCTAAACACATGCATTTATGTCGCTCACCAAAGCCTTAAGACCTACGTGCTGGGTAATGGTCTGTCCATTTTTCAGATGAGACTCTAAATCCTAAATGACTTCTGGGACATCTCAGTTATCCATGAAGGACCTTTCTGGATCCTGCATCTGCATTTACAGAACTCTGAACTGAGCCTAATGACTTTATTAGAAAATGCAGAAATAGAGGCAAAGGCTTGCCTGATTCTGAAAGAGGCTGGGAACTGACTGTAAAGAGACACAAAGGAATTTTCTAAAATGATAAAAACATTGTATAACTTATGTGGGTCCAGGTTACATGTATACACATTTGTCAAAACTCATCTTGCATTGTAAATAAATTATAAAAAATGTTTCTGAGGCTCAGGTAATAGACAACCAAAGAGCCAAGAGCAGGTGTGCATATGAGTAGATACTAGTTTCCAAAACATCCCAAGTGCTGATTCAGGGCTTCCCGCGTAACTATTAACACACCAGCCACACTGCGCTTCCCTACTCCTCAAAAACCAGTAAACGAATCTCAGCTGACGAAAGGAAAAAGGAGAACCCCCTGCAAAGTGGCCGTGATGGGGGAGCCCTTTCTTTGCCACCTGAACGGTATGGCGCTGCTTCAGGCTGGCTCTATTTCCCCAACCTTTCTTTGCCCTTCAGAGCTCCTTAGGAATGAAGCAAGAAAAAGAAAAGCCTTTCTCTTTTAAGCAACTCCCAAATTTAACCACCCAAAAGTCAGCAAAAAAAAAAGGATCTAAAACTGAGGTTTTGCATCTCTCTTGATTTAAAAAAGTAATTTTTTTTTTTAAAGGCTGGGTCTCGCTCTGTCACCCAGGCTGGAATGTAGTGGTGCAATCATGGCTCACTGAAGCCTCAACCTCCTGGGCTCAAGCGATCCTCCTGTCTCAGTCTCCTGAGCAGCTGGTACTGCAGCCATATGCCACCATGCCTGGCTAATTTTTTTTTTTTTTTAAGAGTTGAGGTCTGGCTATGCTGCCCAGGCTGGTACTGAATTCCCGACCTCAAGCAATCCTCTGGCCTCAGCCTCCCAAAGTGCTGAGATTACAGGTGTGGGTACTCTTCAAATTCTCCTGCACACACGAGTGTGCATATCCTGGCCACATTAGTGTCGTCACTGGGTAACATTTCTAAACCCAGAACTGACCAAGGTGCTCTCAACCTAAGAAACTTCTAGGTCTGCACTGGCTACAGGATAAATCTGATTCCTTGGTCTAGGGAAATAGAACTCAAACTTTACTGCTCAACAGAAACATGTGGAGGGCTTGTTAAAATGGAGTCCTGGGCCCTAGTCCAGTTTCTGACTGAATGGAACTTGGCATGGCCTGAGAAGCTGCATTTCATACAAGTTTCCAGGTGATACTGATGCTGGGCTGGAGACCATACTTTGAAAGCTGCAGTTCTAGGGTACAAAATGTTTGACCACAGACCTTCTTGCCTTCAAATCTACCGCTGTCTTCTCTCCCTCTCTTCACACATGCCCCACCCTTTTTCCCAGGGCTTCTCCATGTTCCAACTGGAGAAGGACAAATTGTTGTTGTCTTTAAAATTTCCAACCTGGGCAGGGCACAGTGGCTCATGCCTGTGATCCCAGCACTTTGGGAGGCCAAGGCAGGCGGATCACCTGACGTCAGGAGTTTGAGACCAGCCTGGTCAATGTGGCAAAACCCTGTCTCTACTAAAAATACAAAAATTAGTTGGGCGTGGTGGCACACACCTATAATCCCAGCTGCTCAGGAGGCTGAGGCAGGAGAATCACTTGAACCCCGGAAGTGGAAGTGGAAGTGAGCCAAGATCACACCACTGTACTCCAGCCTGGGCAACAGAGTGCGACTGTCTCAAAAAAGCAAAATCCAATCCATGGTTGATCAGTACTTTTAATCAATACTTTTTATTGGTAAAATACAATATAAATGAATTCTAGAAAAATGAAATTGTAAACAAGAAAAATGTAAGTCCCCAATTTTTATTATTAACTTGGACAAACCTAAACTTAACTATTGAAATGCCATAAAGATGTCTAAAGACAAACCTAAACTTAACCAATGAAATGCTATAAAGATGACTCTAGACTTCTGTGCTTACCTCTGTCTTCCCAGGCAGTGTTACAGAGCAGTACCATTTCATAGGCCACCCATACTAATGATTCCCCATTTTCCAAACGTAAGAGGCTCCTTTATGTTCCATGGCTCTGGCCCTGCTACTTCTCTACCTGGAATGCCCTCTGGGTCCTTTCTGCCTGAACACTCTTGTTTCCAGGTTCAGATGAATGTTATCTCCTCCATGAAGCCTGCCCTGATTCTCACTGGCACATGATATGCCAAGCCCAGCACTTCATCCACGCCACTAGTAAAGCCCTTCCCCCAAGGTAGCTACTCTGTGTCTGTCTCTATGTCAAAACTGTGGGCTGGGGCCGGGTGCAGTTGCTCACGCCTGTAATCCCAGCACTTTGGGAGGCTGAGGTGGGTGCATCACCTGAGATCAGGAGTCGGAGACCAGCCTGGCCAACACAGTGAAACCCCATCTCTACTAAAAATACAAAAATTAGCCAGGTGTGACTGCACACATCTATAGTCTCAGTTACTCAGGTGGCTGAGGCAGAAGAATCACTTGAACCTGGGAGGCAGAGGTTGCAGTGAGCCAAGACAGCACCACTGCACTCCAGTCTGAGCAACAGAATGAAACTCTGTCTCAAAAAAAAAAAAAAAAAAAACAAAACAAAAACCTGTGAGCTGGGATCCCAATTCATCTCTGCATAGCTGTGCCTCGTGCAGGGCTAAGCATCTAGTCAGTGGGTGAAAATGAATGTTTGCTTAGTGGATGAGTGAGTAGACAAATATCACTGTTTCCTTAAGGAGATCTTTGCCAGAGCAGAAATTCATTTTTTTTTTTTTTTTTTTTTTGACATGGAGTCTCGCTCTGTCACCCAGGCTAGAGTGCAGTGGTGTGATCTTGGCTCACTGCAACCTCTGCCTCCCAGGTTCAAGTGATTCTCCTGCCTCAGCCTCCCGAGCAGCTGGGATTACAGGCGTGCCCATCGCGATCGGCTAATTTTTGTATTTGTGGTAGAGATGACGTTTCACCATGTTGGCCAGGCTGGTCTTGAACTCCTGACCTCAGGTGATCTGCCCACATTGGCCTCCCAAAGTGCTGGGATTACAGGCATGAGCCACCACGACCGGCCCAGAGCAGAAATTCTAGAGGCAATGTCAAGAAATACGTACAGGAGAAAACCAAGAACATGGCCCTGCTCAAAGCAGGCACAGGCTAAGCAGCAGGACATGCTTACCAGCGAGGCGGTTTCTCTGCATAGAGGACTGACGCAGGGTGTATGTGCAGCTCATGGTCATCACGGATAGTCCTTGGGACATAGAAGAATTTTGTCTGAAGTACATTTTAAATACTTACAGCAAGACTTTCCCACAGATATTTTTAATACTACCAAAAAAAGCATGCAGACTGAACTTGTCACAAGCAAAACAATTATCTCCATCTTCTCTTATAACCTTTCTCGATCCCTCCCCGGCTGCCACCCCAGAAGTCAACAATAAACCATGTGGAAAAGAGAAGAGGAGAAAAGCAACATCTGGACACTCAGAGAAAACATTTGGGAATAAAATGTTCTGCCTATGTTTATATGTATCTTCTGCAGGTGCTCTTTCAAAACAATTTCCTTTGGAATGGAAATAATACATGTGATTTCTTCTATAATCTAAAAAGCAAAGTTAAATACTAAAGATAATGACTATAGGAGGACGTAATGATAATGAAAAAAGAAAGCTCACAGCCGGGCGCGGTGGCTCATTACTGTAATCCCAGCACTTTGGGAGGCCAAGGTGGGCAGATCACCTGAGGTTGGCAGTTCAAGACCAGCCTGGCCAACATGGAGAAACCCTGTCTCTACTAAAAATACAAAATTAGCTGGGTGTGGTGGCGCATGCCTGTAATCCCAGCTACTTGGGAGGCTGAGGCAGGAGAATCACTTGAACCTGGGAGGCAAAGGTTGCGATGAGCCGAGATCACCCCATTGCACTCTAGCCTGGGCTATAAGAGCAAAACTCCGTCTCAAAAAAAAAAAAAAAAAGAAAGAAAGCTCAATACTGGACTATTAATTTCTCTGAAATAGTACTTCCAATTCCAACTCAGTAGAATGATCTGTTTCTTGGGGGAAACGCTTCAAGTGCTGTGAGAGCGCCTCGTCGGCGCTGTAATAAAGCCAGTGTTCTGGGGTCCTGGGCTGTCCTACCAGGTGGTGGTGAGCTGATCAACACTAAATGTTGTCTCAAAGGAATGACTAGCCTGGAACCTCCTAGGTAGCCCACATTGTTGCTGAGGACACTGATAAAAGAATTTTCTAAACACTAGTCGAAATTGCTAACTCTCCAGGAGAGTGGGAGCAATCAAGATGACAAGCTGGCAGCACTCCTTGGGAAGATCTCGGGCCACTGCGGGGGTCACCTCCACATGGACGAGTTGCCTCAAATACAGACAACTCAGGGTGGGGAGGTGAGCTCATACAATGGGCAACTGAATCATGATACTGACAGGCCACAACATGCCTGGAGTAACAAAGAGAACAGACTAGAGATCAATGTAAAGTGCTATACTGCAGTTCAAACAGTCGGCTACTAGGATACTAAATGGAGCAGATCCGGCTGCCAAAATTAAAAAAGGCTCACTGCAATTCTGGACTCATTAACAGGAGCCCAGGACAAGGAATCTCTTGGCTGACCTCAAGATAATAGAGCAGTAATATTTTCTGAGGGAAAAAAAATTAATGACAAAATCACACATAGGAAGAAGAGCTGGGGAGAAATTCTTTGGAGTGTGCTCTTATTAAAGAACAGAAAATGATAATAGCTATACTTTAAGCAGGCTACAGTGAGGTTATGAAACTAAAATGAGCCAAAAGACAGACTAAAAGTAACAATTCAAAGCACTGGAATGATTAGTCTGGAGAAAGGAAAGCGAAGCTATGCTGAGTTTTCACTGCATTTGAATATACTAAAGACCATTAGGAAGGCATCAACGATCAGTGGTTTTCTGTGCCTAGAAAACGGAACTGGAAGAATCAGGTTATGTAGCAGGAGGCACATGAGCACATGAGAAACACCTGGCTACCTCCAAAGACACCAGACGTGACCACACTGTACCAGGGTGGGTGGGGACTTCAGTCCTGCAGATCTCTCAAGACATGATAAACTAGCCAACTGTAGAAGTAACTTATCTAGGAAAGATTACTTTTAATGGTTTCTTCAGGTCATGTTATTCTATCATTAGAATTGAATTATTACCAGCCTCAAGATGTAAAATTGTCATCCTTCTAAAACATACAACATATAGATGAGCTGAAAGTGTGAGAATCATTTTTAGGAAGTCAAGATATTTTGCTTAAAGCTATGTCGCTAACCTCAACTCAGTTTTGGAAGGAGACATGGTAGAAAGTAAAAATAATTATGTAATTACTATCTCTGCACAGGTTTCTGTGGGGTCTGGGTCATTTGTAAGACTATTCCTTTAACAAATGACTTCACCAAGTATCGTGTTACCTATAAGCTCCAGTAGAATGAAACCTCGCTGCATTGGCGAAGAAGCCGGAGACAATGCACCTCAGAACCGGATCCGGATCACCTACACAGGCAGCCAACAGACAGGCGGGTGAGACCCTTGCCTGCCCTATGCTCCGTGTGCTCTAAGGCACAGGATCCACTCCCAGGACCACCCCAGACTGCTTCAAGCCACCTCGAAACCCTCCCCTGAACTGGCTCCAGCCCTGCCCTTCCGGCACTGTCTAAGGAGGTCCCACTCCCCACAACCACTGCTGAGAACTATGGTGGTCTGCTCCTTGAACCTGGGACCCCTCCAACCTCCCCTAAGCCACACATGGCTGGACCATGGCTTGGCACTAGAACCTAAGAGTGCTGCTCTGCAGGATGGTCAGTGACCTCAGGACTCCTTTGTAAAAGAGTGTGATATGGCAATGACGCTCTTTCTATAAAACACAAACTGGAAATACTATACAACGTGACTTCTGTGGTTGTGAGCTAGTGTTTGAAAATTGAAGTAATTCTTCAAAATTTTCAAATGTTCCATTTTAACTGTTGTTTCTATTGCTACAGCTAACATCTTCCACGAATAAGGCTTCCCCACTATTAGATGATGTCCATGGGATACATTCCAAATTGTTTTGCAAAAGGCTAACAATTTGTTATTTTTGTCATTAACGACATACCATATCTCATCAATTTTAAGACTCCCTCGTTTTCTAACTGTAATTCACTGAAACTAGGATAGCATTTTACAATTATAACTGGCAGCATTTTTTTTCCCTTGGTGATACATAAAATGATGTTTCTTACACATGATGGTATCTTAGATCCAATGGAATATAGCATGTTGGTAAGTAAGTTCCCTAACGGTGGTACTATTTCCAAAGCCATCAACAATATATAAAAATGGCAGTTTCACTGCATTCTTACTAGTAATGTTTTGGCAAAAAGGGTTACCTTCTTTTATGTTACATTTATTTGATTACTATTGGCATATTTCTTCTTTTGTGAATTTTTTGTTCTAATCCTTAGCCCATTTATCAACCCGAAAACTGTTTTTTCCTAACTATGTTAAATAAAATAATTCTGGCCGGGCGCAGTGGCTCAAGCCTGTAATCCTAGCACTTTGGGAGGCCGACACGGGCGGATCACGAGGTCAGGAGATCGAGACCATCCTGGCTAACACGGTGAAACCCCATCTCTACTAAAAAAAATACAAAAAACTAGCCGGGCGAGGTGGCGGGCACCTGTAGTCCCAGCTACTCGGGAGGCTGAGGCAGGAGAATGGCGTAAACCCAGGAGGCGGAGTTTGCAGTGAGCTGAGATCCGGCCACTGCACTCCAGCCTAGGCGACAGAGCGAGACTCCGTCTCAAAAAATAATAATAATAATTCTATAATAAAGTTTTTAATTTTCATCTCATGACTGCTGAAAGTATCTTTCACTAATTGCTTTCTATTTTTTAACACTCAGATGTTTTAAATTTGCATGTAATTTATTTAGTCTCCATGATTTTCTATATTGTTCCTAAGCACTGAGCTGATAAATCTCAAATCTATATGTATAACTATGATCTAATCCGATGCCCAGTCTCTTCTCTCCTATTGTCCATAAGAAATTTCCATGTAAAATATGCACTCTAATCAGGGGTGATACCACTTCTAAAGGGGTGAAAACTGGTTCTTGGAGGCAGGGGCAGGGAACTATCTTAGATACTACAATGGCCTGTGGCCCTCCAAAGCTCAATTTTACCCTACAAAATCTTATTCCTTAGTATTTAAGGATTTAATTTCTCAGGCTGGGTAGAATTTAAATTTAACTTTTCTCCTGGGCAGAGGTCTGATAATGAAACACAGGTGAAGAACACCAATTGCTAAAGTAAGGCTGTCATCTACCTGCTGGGTGACAGGCATTTGACCAGCTGCTCTCCAACTGGGTGCTCCTTGTAAGCTTCCTGTTTCTATCAATGACTCCAACATGGCTCAATGGCCCAGGTTTCAACTCTTCCCTCTCTTGTGAGCGTATTCACCCATCAAATATTCTCTAAGCGTCTAATACACTCCTCACTCCAAGCACTTGTCTCCAGTCCTCCATCCCTAGAGTACGCTTTGCCACCATTTTCTAATTCAACCAGACTCTAAAGCGTGACCGGACTCCCACCACACCTCAAGGAAGCTGCAAGACTTCCCAAGCCAGCCCTCTCTGGATTCCTTCTTCCTGGCATTCCTTCCACATTTTCCAGCACATCTTCTATGATTACTAAAGTATCTACTACTTTAACTTCTAAGAGGACTGATAATCTCAGTACTTTGTCTATTTGTATGAATCTCTCCCTTCATTGCACTGTTCCCTTAGAGTAAAGGCCAAGACTCAGTCATTGTTTAATCACTTACTCTTAGTATAAAGACAAAATAAGACTGAAATGGAACCACCTGGGCTCAAGTTCTGACTCCACCATACCCTCACTGTGTAACTTCAGCAAGTTATATTTTACCTCTTAGCCATGCTTTTCTCACCTATAAGAAGGGGAAAAGAGCACACATTTCACAGCGCTGTTGTGAGCATTAAATTAATAAACACATGGAACACTCAGAGCGCTGCCTGGCCACTTATAAGCACTCAGGAAATGTTACCAAGTACTAATGGTGCTGAGGAGGTGGCTGAGTACCTGGCACACAGTAGGCTTTCAAGCTGACTGCTGAGGCGGGTGTGTCACTTCCTTAAAACCGTAGACTTCTGAGCCACACACAGGTCTGGCTCTCCTCCTCACCAGCTGCATTGTCCCGAATTTAATCTAACTTCTCCCTAGGATCTTATGACTAATTGTAAATGAGGATAATACTGCCAACACCTCACAGAGTGGGAGATTGAGCAAGAGAATATTTGGAGAACCCCTGCCACAGTGTAACCTACCATGTCCCTGATTAACAGTAGTCACTGTCACTGCTAGAGGCCAGAGACTATGTCTTATATAGTACTTTTCTGTCTTACCCTTAGTAACTGCATAGGCTAAACACCCAGCACTTGCTGTAATAATACTTGTCGTTGAAAATAAAATTTAATTTTTATGTAATAGCTACTAATATCATCAACCAAAAAGTAATTTTTCTTGCAAAGCCTACATGGGAAAATCAATGACATGATGTGCACTGATGTGACTGTTAATGATTCTTAAGTATTGTCATGGGCTATGAAATTCCCTTAGTAAGAATGCCCATCAGAAAGAAAAATGGACCTCCTTGGAAAAAATATGTAACTTGACCTTTAGATTTTCATAGACGCAGGCAACTCAAAATATAAAACCCAGCGTTGTTACAGAGCACGCCACGCTGCCTTACACCAGCCCAGCATGAAAACTTCAGGAAGACAACTCAACAGAATGAAGCAAGGGAAGTCACCAGCTGGGACAGTTTCTTCTCACCTTCACTAGACTTCTTGGGCACTTGAAACTTGACAAGAAGCTTTTTCAATTGTTCTCTTACAGTCGCAGCTCTGACAAGACCCTTGTAATTCAGGAAATGTTCCTGACACCATTGAGAGTTCTTATTGTGCTACAGAACAACCCAGAAAGAGGGAGTTAGAAAACAGACGTGTTCTCGACTAAGTCTATGTTGTAAAGATCATTCTTCTCTCTTCCCCCATGTGCTGTTCAATGGCATGAGATCTAAAGATTGGAACTGGCCCTTTTTTGCCCCATCTCTCAAAACAGATATTAACAACCTTGCACACATCCGACTGCTGTGCAACCTCACTCTTTGCACTAAAGAGCAAATGAGAACTTAATGATACGTAGAGATGGTTTCGATCTTAAATACCTTCATTAGAGGTAAACTATCAGAAAGAACCACTTCTCCATGCGGTTCTTTGTAAATCAATTTTTCTTCTTTGGTATGCTTGAATTTATCACTTTATTATACTAGAGGCCAACAATATGACACTTGCCAATGTAGAAATAATTTACAAATTACTATTATTTATCCCCAAAGCATGATTTTTCTATCAATAGTATTCAATTTTTTCTGAATAAGTATGATCATTATGTCTTAGAGTAAATTATTGCTGTGGAAATGTACCTCTGAAATTATATTGTAAGTTAAAGTGCTTTTAAAAAGAAAATGTAATTAAAGATATTCCAGGAAGGCAACCATAGAATAACACAATGTAGACTTATACCCACTTTCTACTGGTAGAGAAAGCTTCAGATTACAGATGATACATTGTGCCTGTACAAATGAATTTTAACTGATTTAAGCCGTAAGTCTCAATAAGAGGTGAATTTCTTCTTTCTGAAAACGTTTCACCAACTGAATCATCTCCTCAAATCACTGGTAAACAAAAATTTAGTATTTCTTCACTTCTAAAAGAATATTTAAGAAATGACTATTAAAAATCTGAAATACTATACCCTTTCTTTTATGTAAGGTTTCTTTTTTCATAATTTTCATCACCTTTATTAACAATTTTTATGGGAACTTTAAGCTGTATTATTTGCTTAGTTTTAAAGAATATTAACAATAAAAAATTAACATCACTTATAGCTAAATACGGGTGGGATATGTGAATATGCACAGATCTCAACTAAATGTCTTCTCATGGCATCTGGCATAGCTTTGAAGAGTCAACCCAGGACTACAAGTTGCTCTCAGAAAATGTAACAGAACTTCCTATTCAAATGTTGCCTTTCTGTCCACTACGCGGTGGATATGAGACGACGTGAGGCAGGGCCACTGGCCTGCCACTAGTGTACCATATCTCCAAGCAAGGGAAAGCAGTGAATGATTCCCGTGTTCTTCTCAGCAATACAGCACCACAAACTCAGGCAGAAAGCCCAACCCACCAGTTAGAAGTACTGGCAATAAATCTAAAAGGAAAATCAAGGGCTCTCTTGGCCATTCCTTTACGAACTGAACTTCTGGAATCCTCCTTCCTAGATCACCTCCAGAAGGTGGTGTGTTGAGGTGGCACTTCGAGCAGTTGTGCTTACTTTGATAAATGCTTCATATACATTGAGCATAGTGAGGTGGTCGCCCTCCTCCACAGCAAATTTACGGTGCACTCGAATCTGGAAAGAATAAAGCAACATTCAGAATTTGACTCTTGGCTGGGTGTGGCGGCTCAGGCCTGTAATCCTAGCATTTGGGGAGGCTAAGGTGGGAGGACTGCTTGAGCCCAGGAGTTTGAGACCAGCCTGGGCAACATAGGTAAACCCCATGACTACAAAAACTAAAAAAAAAAAAAACAAAATTAGCAGGGCATGGTGGTGTGTGCCTCCAAGTCCCAGCTACTAGGCCGAGCTGGGAGGATTGCTTGAGTCCAGGAGCCATGTTTGCACCACTGCACTCCACCCAAAGGAAACAGAGCAAGACCCTGTCTCAAAAGAGAAAGAAAGAAATTGACTCCTGTGAGCCTTTTGCACTGGGAAATAATATTGCACGGTGAATAGCGTGTGGGTTATGGATTCAGAAAGAACTGGTTTGCAGCATTCTAGCTCTGCCATATCCTGAAAGAACTCAGCTTGGTTACTTAAGCTTTCTCAGCCTTGACTTCCTTATCTGTAAAATCAGGAAACTAAACCTATCAAGACTGCTGTGGATTAAGATAATTTACTATAAAGTATCTGGCAAAGAAATTTGATAAAATGTTAGTGTTCTCGTCCCTCTGCTCCTCCAGGTTAATTAAAAACAAAACTAAACAAAAACAGACATAGGCATCTGGGCAAAGAGGCAGAAAAACTTTGTAATCTATAGTTATACAACTGACAAGGAGGATTCCAACAGTCCCTAAGAAAGTCTCTCTCCTCCTCATTACACATACAAATTCAGTCCCTCCATGCATAAGGCTCCTGATTCTCTGACTCTCAAACAGGAGCTGACTTTGAACTCATCTTTGACCTAACTCTATCAGTACACCTTATGTCTGAGTATCTAACTCTTCAGTATCAAAACTTCTCCTTCCACCTTTCCAGTGTTCACTCAATGAGTCATTGCTGATGCCTGCGCCTTAGGTGGGGATTGGATCTCTCTAGCTTATAATGATCCACCTGCAATATCACCATGATGCCGTGTGGTGCCCAGAATTAGCCTGCTATACCCTGGCACCTGACTTCTTATGTCACTAATGTGCCCACCGAGGTTTCTAACAGAGCAGTCTGAGTGACAATTTCCCTGACAGAAACTAGAAGTTGGTATTTCCATGGTTAAGGTATGGGGCTCTGGACTGTGAATCCAGAGCCAACAATTCTGGCTGTGCAACTGTAAATGAGTTATCTAACCTCTCTGTGCCTCCATCTTTAAAACATGATAACAGGCCGGGCACAGTGGCTCACACCTGTAATACCAACAGTTTGGGAGATCAAGGCGGGCAGATCACCTGAGGTCAGGAGTTTGAGACCGGCCTGGCCAATATGGTGAAACCCCGTCTCTACTAAAAATATAAAAATTAGCCAGGCATGGTGGAGCACACCTGTAATCCCAGCTACATGGGAGGCAGGAGAATTGCTTGAACCCGGGAGGCAGAGTGCAGTTGCAGTGAGCTGAGATCATGCCACTACACTCCAGCCTGAGCGATAGAGTGAGACTCCCTCTCAATAAATAAATAAATAAAATATGATAATAATATCTACTTCCCAGGTTTACGATGAAGATAAAGTGGAATGACGCCTGCAAAACGCCTGACACAACATCAAGCACACAATAAACACTCAAAACATGAGCAGATCACATTTGTACAGCTCTGTCTTCAGCAGTTCCTGGGTACAGTTTTGACAAGGAAAGCTCAAAGCGAAAGAGACTGGTACAGACAGCCTGGGGACAGAGCTGACTTACTGCCTGAGACTTCTGGTTTGGGGGGACCACAAAGATATTCTGGATCTGCATCATGGCAGCGATGCTTAGAATTTCCTGAGAACAGCCAAAGTTTCCTGTAAAACAAAAAGCATGTTTGGTTTCAACCATATAATGTGTCAACAAGAGGTGAAAGACATTTTATGATACTTTCCTTGCACCACACTGAAAACTAAGAACATATTTTTTTCTATAGCTTAATTTTTTAAAGTTTATAGTATATAAGCCTGTGCAACATGGCAAAACCCCATCTCCACAAAAAATTAAACAATTAGCCAGGCATGGTGGTATGTGCCTGTGGCCCAGCTACTCAGGAGGATTGCTTAAAGCCGGGAGGTCAAGGCTGCAGTGAGTCAAGTTCACGCCACTGCACTCCAGCCAGGGTGACAGAGCGAGACCCTCTCTCAGAAAAATAAAAACAAAAAAATAAAGTTTACAGTATATAAATATTTCACTCAGCCAAATGTGAAGTCCCATATGTAGTCCAGATGAACAGTAGCCTTGAAGGACTCCAAAAAAGAAGGTGTTAGTGCCCTCTGCAGCTGAAATATGAGGGCCTCTGACTGTAAGCCAAGGTCAAAACCGGCCCCATCACTAAGGGCAGGTCAGCTCCACACCTGCTCCCTACCCTCCTGTGGGAACATCTGGAATCCTGGCAGGAAGTCCGAGAGGGGAAGGGGACAGGGAATGAGAGGCTTGTGCCCCTTCTGCTGTTTCTCTGCTCCTGACCACTTCTATGAAGTGGCTTCCTTCTCAAAAGGGTTCATCTCAGCTGGGAAGCCCAAGGCACAACTAGACCAGCAAAGCATGCTGCGGGGCTGCTGGAGCACCTGAAAACAGAGTCGGCAGCAATCACCACTCCAGGGCACAAGGCAAAGCACACTGCACTGCCCGTGTCCCATCTCCCCACTGACTCCCACCTCATGAATGATGCACTTCCCCAGTCCACACTTAGAATCCTGTTTCTCGGTCAGGTGCGGTAGCTCACACCTGTAATCCCAGCACTTTGGGAGGCCAAGGCGGGCAGGTCACCTGAGGTCAGGAGTTTAAGACTAGCCTGGCCAACATGGTGAAACCCCATCTCTCCTAAAAATACAAAATTAGCTGGGCGTGGTGGCACACGCCTGTAATCCCAGCTACTCAGGAGGCTGAGGCACGAGAATCGCTTGAACTGAACCCGGGAGGCAGAGGTTGCAATGAGCTGAGATTGCGCCACTGCCCTCCAGCCTGGGCAACAGAGTGAGATACTATCTCAAAAAAAAAAAAAAAAAATCCTGTTTCTAAACGGAAGCCTGAGGACAAGTGGTTGTTTCAAAACATAATTAGTTAGCTTTCCCCATACTGGGTCTGAATCTTCATAAATTGCCAGTTGATATAAAAGTTAGACAAAAGCAAGAAAAAATTAAACTATCTTTCCCAGGGGTAAAAAAACAAATTATACTTTCTAGATGATTTTGATTTCTAATTATGAGAAGACTTCCAGATCTTTTATCCTAGAACTCATGTCCTCACAAAAATCTGAAGAAGTCAAAGAAATTGGAACCCTCGTGTACTGCTGACAGAAATGCAAAATGGTACACCCCTTAATGGAAAATTATATGGCACTACCTCAAAAAACTAAAAATGGACTTATATGCTCTAACAATCGCACTTCTAGGTATATATCCAAAGGAACTGAAACTGATATTTCAAGGAGATAACTGCATTCCCATATTCATTTCAGCATTATTTACAAAAGCCAAAATTTGGAAGCAATCCAAGTGTCCATTCATTGGACGAATGAATAAAGAAAATGTGGTATATATAAATATGTACACACACAATGAAATAACATGCAGCCTTAAAAAAAGAAGAAAACAATGTCATTCACAACAGCATAAATGGAACTGGAGGACATTATGCCAAGTGAAATAAGGCAGGCACAGAAAGATAAACACTGTATGATCTCACTTATATATGGAATCTAAAAAAGTCAATCTCATAGAAACAGAGAGCAGAAAGGTGATCACCAGAGGCTGGGAGATCCCCTAACTGAAACTAACAAAGTTTCAGTTAGACTGGAGGAATAGGTTTTGCACTGCATGGTGACCACAGTTAATAATAATGTATTGTATATTTCAAAATTGCTAAAAGAATAGAATTTTAACATTCTTAGCACAAATTCTTAGCACAAAAAAATGATAAGTTGGTGAGTTGGTGAATATGTTAATTTGCTTGGTTGAATCTACAATGTGTACATAGATTAAAACATCACACTGTATCTCATAAATATATACAATTATTATTTGTTAATTAAAAACAAATTTTTAAAAATTAAAGAATTATCATGATTTAGTAATTCCACTTCTGGCTATATACCCAAAAAACGTAAAAACAGGGACTCAAAAAGATATTTGTGTATCCATGTTCATAGCAGCATTATTCACAACAGCCAAAAGTTAGAAGCAACCAAAGTGTCTGTCAACAGATAAACAAAACATAGTATAGATATACAAAAAAATACTATTCCGCCTTAAAAATGAAGAAAACTTTAACACATACTACAACATGGATGAACCTGGAAGACATTATGCTAACAGACACAAGAGAGTCACAAAGGACAAATACTGTGTGATTGCACTTCTGAGGGTTCTTAGAGTAGTCAAATTCACAGAGACAGAAAGTAGTGGTGGTTGCCACGGGCTGGGCAGAGGAGAGAATAGGGAATTTGTGTTTACCAAATATGGAGTTTCAACGGAGAAGATGGAAGAAGTTCTAGAAATGGATGGTGCTGATGGTTATACAACAATATGAACGTACTTTGTACCACAGAACTACACATTTAAAATGGTTAAAACAATAAATGTTACGTTACAGATACATATATACTTTTTTACCATATTGTACCCTCTTCCACAGGGTGCTCAGAATTCCGGCAAACAACACCTCTGACAGTCCAAATAAAATCAATTCAAGCTATCAGGCTCTACCCACCTGATTCAAGCAGCATTTTGGCAAACATGGGATTCAAAGGGAACTCTGCAATTCTCATGCCGAGCGGTTCAGTCAGGCGACAGTCTTTGTCCAGACCTGCCATAAGAACAACAAAAGAAATCAGAAGGCAGATACCATTGTGTTGGAAGGCACATAGTTGTTGAGAGAATAAAAGAAAATATATGCTAAAAAGAAGAAAGTATCCAAAAGGTGATTCATGCACTACCAAACTCCATGACACTAAAGTGCTATTACATTAAAAGAAGAAAAGATCTCCACTGAACTCTTGAATACCCAGTTTTTAAACACTGATACTTTTAAAGACTTCTATTCAAGGACTTAATTATAAGGAAATGTCCTGCAGCCTTCTGCTTGTACCCTCTCCCCAAGCCACAACAGCCTCGCCTGTTCCCACTACTCCAAAGAGACCACTCTTTCCAACAACCTAACAACCGGGTAGTGCCAAACGCAAGGCATCTTCCTAACAGCCTCGGCAGCACTCAGCTCTGCTGGCCGCTGCTTCTTGGAACTACCCTTCGCCAGCTTCTGGCCCCCCACTCTCCTGGTTCTCTGCCATCTCCCTTGTCCCCTCACTGTCTGGACTTTCTTCCACCTCCAGGACAGGACAGGCCACAGATGTGCCAGGATGGCATTGATGGCATCCCATGTCCTGTGCTCTTCTCAAACTACATGAGTGATATGGTTTGGCTGTGTCCCCACCCAAATCTCACCTTGAATTGTAAACACGTCAAGGGCGGGGCCAGGTGGAGATAACTGAAACACAGGGGCAGTCTCCCCGTACTGTTCTCATAATAATGAATAAGTCTTGCAAGATCTGATGGTTTTATAAATGGGAGTTCCCCTGCATAAGTTCTCTTGCCTGTTGCCATGTAAGACATGCCTTCGCTCTTCCATGATTATGAGGCCTCCCCAGTCATGTGGAACTGAGTTCATTAAACCTCTTTCCTTTATAAATTACCCAGTCTTGGGTGTCTCTTTATTAGCAGCATGAGAACAACAATGAGCAACTACGAGGCCAGCAACCTGGAATCTAAACACTAACCCAGATCCCTCTGGTGCCAACACCAGCCCTGTTCATGTGACTGCCTCCTGAGCATTTTGCTGAACTGGGCTGACTCCTTCAACTCCCCAACTGCCCTCCTTGCGCTCTAACACTCGCCAACATCCAGGTATTGGATTCCCAAGACCCCCAAGATACAGACTACTGTTTTACTACTTAAATGCTGCAAGACCTCAGAGTAAGGCAGAGTTCAATAAGACATCTCTTTAAAGGTGATAATTCAGCTTGAAATTAAATGAAGCTGGGGGGCTCCCTCTACCTTTTCCAGCTTATTTAGGCTATTGAAGAAATAGGAAATATTTTAAATTTCATTGTTTGACCGGAGAAAAACCATCCCAAATAAAAATTCCTATGCTGTCAATATTCTCTCATCCTCACTACAGATCAGCCCAGGAAACATGCTTTTGGTTCCTATTACATGCTGGAGAAGAGGGGGTGGAAACCTCCAACACACATTCACTCCAGGTTGATCTTATGTAAATCCAGCTGAAGGTCTTTTAAATCACCGGAGCTCTTTTAAATCAGTAACTGGCTATTCACAGAGAAGTAAAATCAACATAATGAATGAAGATGGACCCCTACCTCACTCCACACCGAAAAAGTAACTCAAAATGGATCAGAACTAATGTAAGCGCCAAAACTATAAAACCCAGGAGAAGATCTTAATGACTACAGGTTAGGCAAGTTTCTTAGACATGACACCAAGGGCACACGTAACAAAAGAAAAATATAGATAAACTGAACCACACAAAAACTTAAAATTTTTGTACTGCAAACAATACTAATAAGTAAAAAGTAAGTACATGTAAGTAAAAAGCCAAACCACAGAAATGGGAGAAATATTTACAAACCACATATCTGATAAGAATACGTGCCCAGAATATATAAAGAACTTCAACTCAATTTAAAAACACAATAGCACAAATAAAAATGGGCAAAGGATTTGAACAGACTTTTCTCCAAAGAAGATTTACAAATGGGCAGCAAGCACATGAAACGGTGCTCAACATCATGACTCATCAGGGAAACGCAAATCAAAACCAAGATACCACTTCATACCCACTAGGATGGCTACAACACAAAAGACAATTACAAGCATTGGCAACAATGTGGAAAAACTGGAACTGTCATACATTGCTGGTGGGAATGTTCACCAAAACCATATTTACATGCTAATATTCATAGCAGCATTATTTATATTAGTCAAAAAATGGAAACAACCCAAATATCCATCAATCAATGAATGGATAAAAAATATGTGGTATATCCATACAACAGAATATTATTCTGCGAGAAAAAGGGATAAAGTACGAATATATGCTACAACATGAAGGAACCTGGGAAACATCTTACTAAATGAAAGAAGCTGCTATGGTTTGGATGTAGTCTGTCCCCACCAAAGCTCATGTTGCAATTTGATGCCCAACATGACAGTGTTGGGAGATGGGGCCTAGTGGGAGGTGTATGGGTCATGAGGGTGATCCCTCATGAACAGGTTAATGCCCTTACCCAGGGTGAGTAATGGATTAGTTCCCACGACAGCAGGTTCTTAAAAGAGCCTGGCTTCCTCTGTTTCTCTTTCTGGCTTCCTCTCTTGCCATGTGATCTCTGCACCTGCCCACTCTCCTTTTGCTTTCCACTTTGAGTGGAAGCAGGCTGAGGCCCTCCTCAAATACAGCTGCCTAATCTTGGAGCTTTCAGCCACCTGAATCGTGAGCCAAATAAACCTCTTTAGAAATTACCCAGCCTCCGGCATTCTGTTATAGCAACAGAAGACAGACTGAGACAGAAGCCAATCACAAAAGTCCACATATTATACAAATCCATTTATATGAAATGTCCAGAAAAGGCACACCTGTAGAGATAAAAAGTCTCTCTAGAGATGGAACCAGATAGTGGTTGCCCTGGGCTAGGGGACTAGGGGAAAGAGAATGAGAAGTTCGGCGCTAATGGGTAAAGATTTCTTTTTTGGGTGATGAATATGTTCTACAACTAGACTGTGGTGATGGTTGCACAACCATGAAAATATGCTAAAAGCCTCTGAATTTGTACACTGTAAACGAGTGAACATACATAAACTATACTTCAATACAGCTATTTAAAAAAAAGTAACACTCAAAATAAATCTCAAAAAGCAAAATCTCCACTAAAACTTAATTCCAAATTGGAAATTATATTCATTTGTGGTACCAGTCACAGAAGAGACAGTACTCCCCAAAGAGGTGAATTCAGACTATGATTTTCTCTATGTCAAGATAAATGCTATTAAGGTTGGTACAAAAGCAATTGTAATAACATCTTTAATCAACAAGTGAATAGAAGTTCCCCCATAACATCGTGTTTCCTTGCCCAAACAATACTAGAAGCTGATAATGTCCCCAATTCTCCACAAGTAACTCCAGGAATGAAATGAAGAGGATTTAGGGAGAGAATACTGAGCCATGATTAAGGATGTGGTTGTTAGGTGGAGAAAAAAGGTCTGGGGAGGTAAGATCTGACATCCTGGTTGGGAACTGCCGATCTCTAGACGTCTCTTAGGAGTGTGGCCCTGGTGATTCTTATTAATAGCTTCTGACGAACTGGCATGTTTTATATACTGGCTGTCATAATCAGCTTTCATCTGTCTAATTATGGTCCCAACTTTCTATTTCAATAAAGTATCATTAAGGGGATTATATATAAGGGGAGAACCAACCCCATTCCTGAAGATACTAAGAGCCCTAAAGTGAATATGACCTCACTTTTAATATCGCAAAAGAGAACACATAATAACAAGAGAGAACGATGAGAAAAACTGGCATACCTCCCAGAGCATACAGTAACTCCAAGGCTTGAACCATCGACTGTGCTGGAGGGGGCTGGAAAAAACATTTAAAAATCTTTCTAAATCAATTTATTTGAGCAACAAACATTAAAATGTGACTGTTTCCTTTTCAAATCCACTCACCCCTCTACCATACCCCATTCTTCCCAGCCTCCATGTTTCTGTTCATGCTGTTGGCACTTCTCAAAATGTCCTTCCTGTTGTTCCAGGCACCCTTGTACCGCTTGGCCTTTACGGCTCAGCTTGATGAAACACTTCCCTTCAAAGCGCTCCCTCATCCTCCCCTCCATCAGATGTGACAGGTCCCTATCTTAAACTACCTCTTCATTTTCCTTAAACCCTCCTGAGACACTTCTAATTTTTACTTCGCAGACTCAACCTTCTACCACACTGGGGCCCCAGGACACTGCAGCACTCGGGGATGATCTATCTTTGCATCCCCCAGAGACCCACTTCAGCCCCCATGGTGGGTAAATAACATACGCTAAATTTGTTTTTTCTTAATCCCTGTCTGGAAACTGCAACATATGTTGAATTTGAATTTCAAAAAATAATAGTTCTAGAGAACCTAAAGTTCATAAGCAAAGTTGATGTAGTCAGCCTCAGTCTGATTTTCCAGATCTTTACCTCCTTTTCTTCTACAAATCTTGACTGAGCACCTAAGTGCCAGGCATCATATTTTTTTCTCTCTAAATTATGTGGTTTCTAATAACCCAGGTAATAAAATTATAGTACGTTTTTAAACTGCATAGCATGTTGTCTAAATGCATTTTTTTCTAATTGCATTTTTCATAATTGCAAATTCATAATTGCATTTTTCTAATCACATAGCATTTTTTTATAATTGCATTCACATAGCAAATGTATTTTAATCATCACGTTGTTTTAGCTCAGTTTTACAGATGAGTAAAGTGAACTGTAATAAGGAAAAGATATCTGAACAAGGTCATATAGGCAGTTGGTGGCAAAGCTGAACTCAGGCCTCATTTTTCCCAGTCTACCTCCCCTACTTTGTTTGCCAAAGACCAAAATTAAACTATTTTAAACGTTGTAGTGACTGAACACACAGGTGAACACACTTACAAGGGCAGGAACTAAACCTACTGGATTCACTACACAGAGAGGATTCAACAAATCAACATTGAGCAAATCATGTAAATGATCCACTAGCCCTTCCTTGGTGCCTACAACATCTTTCTCTACAAAGAGGCAAAACGGACAACACCTAAATGAAGGAGCTTAAACCCTCTGGGATCTTTTATACTGAGAGTGGATGAGATAACAGGAATAGCAATCTCTGAACTAGGCTTTTAACAATTACAGAAAAAACTAACAAGGTCATCTCTGACTCAATTCCTGGCCTGATTTCCAGTCAATTAACAAAAAAAACTTATCCCCCTCCCCACAAAAATCTTATCCATAGTATTTTCATCTAATCACATTCACTGGTATTTCTCTATGACCTCAACTGATTTGGGATAATACAGAAACACTGTTTTAATATATCTGGAATTACTGTGTATGTATAGTTTTAGTGTGGTCTTCTCACTACATGTTTTCCTGTTTTCATTGTTTCTTGCACCCATACAAACTTCACAGTAACTACTTGGGATGGCTGCATAATACTCGATGACGATCATACTCCATAAAGAAGTCAATTTTCTTATTGCTGGGCAATTAAGTTGTTTCCAGTTTTTCACCATTGTAAATAACATTGCTAAATATACAAAACTATATGTAGTCTGTAATTTCAACCATAAAAACCACAATTTCAGGGGATAATAACCACAAGGAAATATGTGAAGATAAACTTGTATGTATTTTTTTTCATTTTTCAACTGTTCTAAAGTTTTGCGATAATTTTCATTATTTATATTTTTAAATTTAATATAAATGCTATAAGCATTATCATATATGTAAGCTTTTTTTCTTCTTCTGAATTATTTTTTCAGCAGAAATTTTTATGAGAAGAAATAGCAGGCATTTCTACAGCTCATTAAATGTCGTCAGAAAGTCCTCCATGGGGACAGAAACAGCGTTAACATGGGAGGAATTTACTTTCCCAAATTGTGGCAGTTTTGGATTTCACCATTTTTCTTTATACTTAATCATTTAATTAGTGTAAAGTCAACTGCCCATGGTGGCTCACACCTGTAATACCAGCACTTTGGAAGGCCAAGATGGGCAGATCACCTGAGGTCAGGCATTCAAGCCCATCCTGGCCAACGTGGCAAAACCCCATCTCTACCAAAAATACAAAAAATTAGCCGAGCCTCGTCTACTTGGGAGGCCGAGACACGAGAATCGCTTGAACCCATGAGGCGGAGGTTGCAGTGAGCTGAGATCACACAACTGCACTCCAGCCTGGGTGACACAGTGAGACTCTGTTTCCAAAAAAAAAAAAAGAAAAAAATAGTGTAAAGTCATCCTTTATAGCTATATCAACGTGCAGTCACCTCTCTCCTAGAGAAGCTCAACATGTCCTAATGATAGTTACAATTTGAATTTGTGCTGTTTTTTTCCTTTAGCTTTATTTATTGAATATTTACTGTGAATGATGTACGTATAAAAACTCTTCGTATTTTTTGAGATACTGATCTGTCATTTCTGTCACTGCATGTTTTTCTTTAATTTTACATGTGGGGCTTTTCATAAGCGTTTAAATTGGCACATACTGTTCATCTTTTCCTTTTTTTTTTTTTTTTAAGAAGGAGTCTTGCCCTATTGCCCAGGCTGGAGCGCAGTGGCACAATCTAGGCTCACTGCAACCTCCGCCTCCCAGGTTCAAGCGTTTCTCCTGCCTCAAGCCTCCCAAGTACCTGGGACTACTGGCGCATGCCACCATGCCTGGCTAATTTTTGTATTTTTAGTAAAGACAGGGTATCACCACATTGGCCAGGCTGGTCTTGAACTCCGGACCTCAAGTGATCCACCTGCCTCGGCCTCCCAAAGTGCTGGGATTACAGGCATAAGCCATCACGCTCAGCCTGTTTATGTTTCTTTATAATATCTTCTACTCTACACCAATAAACAAAGGGTCCATTTTCCCTATACTTATGGTAAGGTAAGTACACAATTTTCTTTGGGAGAGTTGATATTTGTATGTTCTAGTCTTTCATTCACCTATTTTACCATCACATATGACATTAGGGACTTTCCGATCCAAGAATCCAGACTTGTCATACCATATACAGTTGGGAAAAAACAAAGTTCCCAAATCATAAAAATTCTAGAGGAAAATATGAGTGAATATGTATTAACTGACCCAAATATAAGAAGTATTTCATAAGCACAAGAATAACCAAAGAGGCCGGGGGTGGTGGCTCACGCCTGTAATCCCAATACTTTGGGAGGCCCAGATCTGTGGATCACCTGACCTCAGGAGTTCAAGACCAGACGGGGCAACAAGGCAAAACCCTGTCTCTACTAAAAATACAAAAAATTAGCCGGGCGTGGTGGCACACACCTGTAATCCCAGCTACTCACGAGGCTGAAGCACAAGAATCACTTGAGCATGGGAGGCAGAGGTTGCAGTGAGCCAAGATGGCACCATTGCACTCCAGCCTGGGCTACAGAGGGAGACTGTCTCAGAAAAAAAAAAGAGAAAAAAGAATAGCCAAAGAAATCATAAAGGCAAAAATAGATTACTGTGAATATGTTTAGAATGTCTACACATTAAAAAAATAAAATAAATGCCGGGCACGGTGGCTCAAGCCTGTAATCCCAGCACTTTGGGAGGCCGAGATGGGCGGATCACGAGGTCAGGAGATCGAGACCATCCTGGCTAACACGGTGAAACCCCGTCTCTACTAAAAAGTACAAAAAACTAGCCGGGCGAGGTGGTGGGTGCCTGTAGTCCCAGCTACTCCGGAGGCTGAGGCAGGAGAATGGCTTAAACCCGGGAGGCGGAGCTTGCAGTGAGCTGAGATCCGGCCACTGCACTCCAGCCTGGGCGACAGAGCCAGACTCCGTCTCAAAAAAAATAAATAAAATAAAATAAAATAAAATACAAATAGAAAATATTTGTAAGAAATATTATAGACAAGGATTAATGTCTTTAATATTCAAAGGACTCTTGAAAATCACTAATAGACACAAATTCTAACAGATAAATAGCTTAACAATTCAGAAAAAATACAAACTGACTAATAAATGTTTTTATAAAAAGCTACCTTATGAGAAATTTAAAAATAATTATAATAAAGGTAATTTCCCCCCTCTCTCTCTGGCCAATCAAGTCAGCGAAACTAAAAGAAGATAACATGGCACAATGGAAGTACCACAAGGTGGGCATTCATGCACTGCTAGAGTTGACATTGGTAAAGCAATCTGGCCACGTAACAGGACCCTCAACAGGACTATGGCTCTTTGACCTAGTCATTCCACTCCTAGAAATCATCTCAAGAAGCAATCAGATACAAGGGTCTTCCTGCAGCTCTATCTAAACCCTCCAGGATCCCCTAGTCATGGTACTCCTGCATCTAGGCCTGTACAAAGACTAGCTGTCCTGAACTCTCCACTTCTCCCAATCTGGTGAGATCCTCTTTGGGTTTCAGGTTTCACCTGGGACACAATTGACTAAGGTGGGGGCACTTCCTCTGTCTCTCAGAGCCCTGGGCACACTGCTCTGTAATTACCCACTTACTTGTCTCTACTCCCCAGCAGACAAGAACAGGAACTATATAAGAACAGGAATTGAGGCTACCTTGTCTGGCTGTTTTCCCCTACGTCCTGCACAGGGCCTGGTTGCAAAGCAGACACACAACACATGACCTGAGTAGGGAAAAAAAAGAAAGACAGCATGCCCTACGACAGTGTCCTGACATCCCCCTGTGAGCTCCCTAGCCTCCCTATGGCCCCAGACAGCAGGCAGGACTTACCGACATGAAGTGGAACCTGAGGACATTGTCAATTCCTAGCGCTTTCAGCTGCAGGATGACAGGTGCCAAATTACTACGCTGCATCTCAGGAACCGTAGACTGAGGCAACTTGTCAAAGGCTTCCTCTGAGGATAGGAAATCAGAACTGTGTGGGACCAAATGTCACAATCAAATGCAATCACTATACCAAGGGACAAATTTTCTTCTCTATCTTGAACAAGAAGCTCTAGGATTCTAGGAGCAGATGCACATGATAACATGATATAAAATTATTTTTATACTTAGGAAAGACCATTCTATTTTAAAATGCCTTAGATAAATATATTTGAATACACCTTTATAAAACTTTTTCTTTTTGCTTTAAAATGCTGTTTTTTTAATGTTTTTTGTCAGCAAAACATTAAATCAAACCAGTAAGTATTTGCTGAACCACTCTATCAGTTCCTAGTTGCCACCATCTCTGTATGGAATAAGTCAAGGAAGCAAGAGCTTCACATACAAGCAAAGAACAACCTCAAGATAAATCACCAAAATATAACGAATGACCAAATCTTATAAAGAGCAAAAATTGTCCAAATCAAAGTTTTTAAATCAACGAAGCAGGTACACAATATCGTTCCCAGAATCCAATGCTGCCCCAAACCAAGAAATGAATGTTTGCATGCCCTGCCAGGAAAAAAAAGGTGACCTTACACAGGAAAAATCATCCTCAGACACAGAGATCCCAAGACAGGAAGGACAGAAAAGGAGGGGGAAGGAGAATAGACTTTGGAAGAAGGCCTTTTTATAAAAGCTAGGCAGGAAGGGTGGGGAAAAAAGAGGAAGAGCTTAAATCATTTTCATGTATATTCAGAAAGCTTAACGATTATGTAGAGAATGCTCCACCCACCAAAATCTCCCACATCAGTCAACATTTTAACTGATGCACACCCTTCGTAAACAATACAAGGGTGACCCAACTTCCATTTAGATCTTAAAGCCTTAGTTAACTAGAAAAAAAAAAAAAGTACCTTGAAGAAATACCACTGTCCCTGAAGAACTTCAAAAAGGTTTTCTTTGAGAAAATAGACAACCAATATTCTGTGGACTAACTGATACAAATTGGGTCTAACTGGAAGGTTCTGGATGACAGCCAACAGCCAGAAGTTCCAAACGAGATACTTCAACAGCATTTGGAGTACAGCTTCTTGATAATATAACCCCATTTTCCAAGCACTCTACTGACCAAAGGAGAAACAAAGTTACCACATAAGAGGACCACTCTGCCAAAAAGCTCACAGGAAGTGGGTGTTTCCTGAAAGTTCAATGACATGCAAGTTCTCCTGAGGACTCAAGTGTGTGAGGCATAGGGCCAAAAGCTGTAGGAGTCACAGGTAATCCCCTTGAAAAGCTTCAGTGATAGGCAGGGGTCTGGGAACTGGACCAGAAACAGTTGACCCTCAAGGAGAAATAGGAAAAGTCCCAAGGAGTGGTCTTCCCAAACAGAAATGGAGGCTCAGGGAAGGAGGAAGCAGGGTGGCTGGAAGAAGGCCTCCAGGGAAGCTGCATGTTGCCATTTGAGGGAGGATTTGAAGGACAAAGAGGATCTGTTGGGCAAAGAGGAAACAGCCCAAGGAAAAGGTATCAAAGTGTTTCTCATGCAGAGGGCATGTCATGTAGTTCAGCTGGGAAGCAATGCGTAGTGGTTAGTAGGAGAAGTAAGCTGAGGAAAATTCCTGCATGGTTTGAGAAACTGTGGAGGGTCTGAGCAGGTGGCACCCTGTTCAAAGCAACACTTTCTGGAGGCTCCTGTGGAAGCCTCGAGGCTGGATACCAATGCATTCACTACAGTCAGGGGCCCTCCCTAACCCAACTTCCACTAAAACTGCTCATGCAAAGAGATTCAGTGACTTTTCACCCAAACCCACCTGCCTATCTTTAGTCTGTGATTTTTTGGTGCATGAGATAATGCTGGGCTCTATAAAAGTAACTTGAGCTCCTTAAAAGTTAAACAAAATTACATATAACCTTGTAATAGCCAAACAAATTAAAAACACCTACTCAGTACATGTACATACAGGTTCATACCAGCACTGTTCACAATAGCCAAAAGGCAAAAACAGCCCAAATATCCACAACTAATAAATAAATAAACAAAGTGTGGTTTATCTGTACAACAGAATATTAGTCAGTAATAAAAAGGAATTAAGTACATGCTACAATGTAGATAAACCTCAAAAACATTATGCTAAAAGAAGCCAGACACAAAAGGTCACATATTGTATGACTCTTCACATGAAATATTCAAAAGAGAGAAATCCATTGAGAAAAACACAGGTTGGTGATTTCCAGGCACTCGCAGCCAGAAAGAATGGGAAGAAACTGCTTAATGCATAAGGGATTTTACTCTGGAGTGGCTGAAATGTTCTGAAACTAGATGGAGGTGGTGGTCACACAACATTGTGAATATAATAAATTGTTCACTTTAATTTGGTTAATGTTGTGTTATGTAAATTTCACCTCAATAAATAATTTTTGAAGAGAAAAATGTCTTGAAATCTTCTCTGCATGTCAGAATCCCTTTCAGTCCTGGCTCTCCCTTTTCTACTCTAGTCATTTCTTCTTAGCATCTTCAGTGGTTGCCCTTGGTCCTCTGGTCCTGGGTTCTGCCTATTCTCTCCCTTCCATGAATGTTCCAAACCCACTTCCTTCCCTGCAAGTACTTGTACATTCCATTCCCTCTGCCTGGTGTGCTGAAACTGAATCTCCCCAATCACCTCTTCACCTAGATAAGGACTGTATTGCCAATAAGATCAGGCTCAAGCACCACCCTGGTTGTGAAGCGCTCCCCAAATCTCCAGAAGGATAACACCAGCTTCTAGGAGAAGGCATCTAAGGTAGCTTCATGAGGGAACTGCCATCTGAGAGAGGATTTGAAAGATAAAGAGGATCTGCTGGGCAGAGAAAACAGCCCAAGGAAAAGCCTCTGCTCTCTGCTTCCAAGGCTCCCGATTCTTTATTGCTCCCTATCATACCATAGTATGCTGATCTGTTTTGAGGTCTACCTCCACCACCAGACTGTCAGCCACTGTGGCCACAGACCGTGGTTACTAGCCCCAGATCTCCAAGCTCTAGCATCATGGCCAGCATACAGCAGGTGCTCTACCAACACTGCTAAAAGAAAGATCAACATCAAAGACTGAACAAGGACAATGATAACCAGAAAGGAAAAGAAGAGACAAATGGCAGAGCTAAAACCCCTGGACCTTCTTCAAGGGTAGCAACGCCAGAAGAAACAAAACAAAATAAAACAGAAAACCCTGGGCCTGGTTAAGTGAATGCAGATGGATACTGGATAGAGAAGGGAATTAACAATGACTTGGAAATTGAGTTTGGACAACTGGGGAAAATCTCAGCAGCATTCCCCACAAAAGAGAAGTGCAGAGAGAGAAAGAGCAGCTCTGGATCCATCACTGTCTGTAGGTAAGGCTCTCTTCAAGCTGGATAAAAAGCTCCAGAAGGGCTGAGACAGTATTAAAATTGCCTTCTGTTCCCTCAGAGCCTATCTAGCATAATGCACAGCACAGAGCAGGAGTTCATCAACTTTGTTTTCTATGAATGAGTCTCGGGACAGACCTTCCATTTTCACTTGGCAAAGATGCTCTGAACCAGAAGTAAAAGTGGAACCCAATGTGAGGCTCCACAAGACTCAGGGATCTCGGAATACGAAAACAGCACATTAAGTCAAGAAAGAAAGGCAAGAAAGGATCCAGGACACACAGCCCATGCCCTAGGGGCGCATGGCTACACAGGCCTGTGCCCAGATGTCAGATTAGAACAGGATAGCAAACAGGCGGTCACTCACAGGCCAGCTGTGGCCAATGGGGACTAGTAACAAAGAAACACCATATTTAAAGTGAGGAAGGCGGTGGGGGGCAGATTACACAGGGCCTTGTGAGGAAGGCCTGTATTTTATATTAAGTTCTACCATTAGGAGTAAACATTTGCTATACTCTGAAGCCCAGGTTGACTATGAGGGAGACAAAAACCCTTAGGGAAAGCCACACTAACCTGTATAAAGGCGATAACATTTTCCCGAGCGACTACGACCACCACGTCCTGCTCGCTGGTTAGCTGATGCCTGGGAGACTGGCACCACCACCAAGCATTCAATAGCTGTCCTGGGATTGTAGGCTCGGAGTTTGACAAAGCCACAGTCGATCACGTACACAATGCCACTGATTGTGATAGAGGTTTCTGCCACATTGGTGGCCACTATCACCTAAGTTCCGCACAGAAAGAAGAACAAAAGTCATTTTACTCTTTTTGCTTTTAATAAACTCCTAAAAATCCTAAAAGATTTAACATTGCAGAATCTGTGAGAGGCAGTTTAATATACTAGAAAGAGTGAGTGTTTCTATGTCAGGGGGTGCCCTGAATTTGAATTCTCCCTAATCATGTGACCCTGGATAAGTTACTCAATCTCCTGAACCTGTTTCCTCATCTACATCATAAGATTTACCACCTCCCTTAGGGCTACTGAAGGGACTATATACAATTAATATATAAAGTGATCAGAGCCTAGTATTTGTTAGTTTTCCCCTTTGGCATAACCAAATTAAATCACCACCACCTTGCGCAGGTATAGTCATTTATTCATTCATATTGTGATTACTTCCTGAGGGTATGCACTTTGTCAAACACTGTTCAAGGTGATGGGATGTAGGATAAACAAGACAGACAAGGCCCCTGCTCTGCCAGAGTTTACATTCTAGTGTGAGTGGGCTGAAGACATGCTGAACATAAACCAGAAGATAATTTCAGAGTACAACAAATACTATAAAGAAAATATTAATACAATGAGGCAATATGACATGATATAGTATATAACATGTATATTATATATTATTATAATAATAGGGCATGCTACTTTACATTTGTTGGCCAGGGAGAGCCTCTGTGAAAGATTTTGAGCAGAGACCTGAGTAACAAGAAGCAGCCAATCCTACAGAGATTCAAGAAGAAGAAACAGTTCAAAGGAAGGAGAAACAGCCAGTGCAGCCAAAATACACAGTAAGTACAAGATGAGGTTGCAGAGAGAGGCAGAGATGCGATTGTATGTGGTCTCTGGGTCACCATGAGGTATTTGCATTTTAATCCCAGTACATCGGGAGCTGCCCCTGGAGGGTTTAAGTAGCAGGGGACACATACATATAGCAGTTACAACTTTTTTCAGGCACTTTACATTTTATAAATCATTTTATAAAAATTATTTTATAAATGATCATTTTATAAAATAATCTTCCTAATATTTTTATGTAGTTGGGATTAAGATATTATGCTATTAAACTACCTATCTGAAAGTTATTATTATTTATGTTTTACAGCTGCAAAAACTCAGATTCAAGGTTAAGTCAGTCGTCCCAAGGCACACAGTAGCTCAGGGGCAGAATCCAGGTCTCCTGATTGACTGGCTGCAATTAATGTTTGACGCAGCAGACTCAAGTTGCTCCATCCCAATGGTCAAGAGGCTGAGCACCCTCTTCCAGGTGATCTGAAATTGGGAGTGGATCCTCAGACCATCCCTCACCTGCTCTATTCTCTGCCACCTGTTCATAAATAGCTACTACAGTAAAAGCTGTCCTCGGGCTGGTTCTGCACGGTCCTCATCTAATGAAAGGAAAAGGCAGAGTCAGGCCCAGGGGGACCATGAACAGTGGGCGGACTGGCTGCCTGCCGGCTCCTTCAAACCAGTGCTTTCCACCACACCCTTCCCCACTCTCACTTCAAGGCCAAACATTTTTAAGCCACACCTTGAATTAACTGATTTAAATTTGGCCTTTTAAAATAGGCAAGCTGATACTTAAATTATTTAGAAACCATGTGTACCAACCTTTCTATTGCTCCTGACAGATGACCTAAATCCCCACAAACAATCCCTTCAGCCAAAGTAAGCATGAGTTGTGGGAAATATTAGGAAGGCAGAAGAGAAGAAAAGGGAAGTCACCTGATCTGACAACTACTGTCAGAGTGACCCTTCAGTGGGACGGGTTTAGAATCTTCACAACGGGCCAGGCGCAGTGGCTCACGCCTGTAATCCTGGCACTTTGGGAGGCCAAGGCAGGCGGATCACAAGGTCAGGAGATTGAGACCATCCTGGCTAACACAGTGAAATCCAGTCTCTACTAAAAATACAGAAAAAATTAGCCGGGCGCGGTGGCGGGCGCCTGTAGTCCCAGCTACTCAGGAGGCTGAGGCAGGAAAATGGCGTGAACCCGGGAGGCGGAGCTTGCAGTGAGCTGAGATTGCGCCACTACACTCCAGCCTGGGGCGACAGAGAGAGACTGAAAATGGCGTGAACCCGGGAGGCGGAGCTTGCAGTGAGCTGAGATTGCGCCACTACACTCCAGCCTGGGGCGACAGAGAGAGACTCCGTCTCAAAAAAAAAAAAAAAAAAAGAAAAAAGAAAGAAATCTTCACAATGTATTATTTATTGTGTGCTTTTAGATCTACTACACAGAAATACAGACCTAGAAGTCTGCCTTGTATTTAGCAAGTTTCAAAACAAGTAAATGAGCATCATTATGATTATAGACGGCTGCCAACACCCTTGGTCATCAGGATAGTCTCACCTTTCTGACACTGCGTGACACCCTTTCAAACACTTTCATTTGCTCAAAGGAAGGCAGTCCTGCATACATGGGGAGAACTCGGAGGTGTCTCTTCATCCCAGTGCGAGCTAACGCCCGAGCCTGCTCGATGAGCATCGACACAACAGTTTCTACCTCTTCCTAAAGACATTGAACCAGGAACCAAAGAAACTGAGATCACTTTAAAGCATGCTATTTTATCATACTGAAAGAAAATCAAAGTCAGAATCTGGATTTTAATTTTGGTCAGATGCAATAATTTCAGTGCCATCATGTTCCATTCTGGGATGATATTTAATTAAATGCTAATAAACAATGATGACAATGGGTGAAATTTTGCAACTACACTATTAGTTACTAAAAAATCAATGTGATCTGCAATGAATGGACGAGTTCCCAATAAATAAAAACAATGACTATTTTACTCAGCATACATATACAGGGTCAAACAAGCATCGCATGCATATGGACAAGTTGTAGCATATAAAATCACTAGAAGCTTTCTCCAAAAAAGATTACTGAACCATGGAAAGTGTTTGGCAGTGGAAAAGATTACAGTTGGAGGGCAGGTCTGAATAGTGCTGCCACTTTCAGTGAGCACTTGGGTCTGTTCAGTTGTTTTACCAGTAATATGGCCACTTATCACCTTTAGGATGAGCTGTAAAGGTGTCACTGGAAAAAGAGGTACACAGCAGCAACATGTGTGCAGGACCATGGACCTAATGTAGTATCCAATTCTGGCAAACAAAACAGCCCTCACTCAACTACTTAGTTTATTTGGAATCAGTTAATACATTTAAAAAACATTTAACCCGCTGCAGACAGAACAGGCGGGGGCTAACGACTCCCTGACAATCTAGATGGTAGATGAATGACATCAAATCAATTTTTTACATAATTATGGAACCACAAAATATAACAAAACATGAAATAAATGGCTGAGTAAAGTAACAAGGCTCTGTATTAATTTTGGTGCTGTCTTAACATGTCTGTTCATCAGAGAAGTACAATGGCATTACCTGGCCAGTAAGAAATGCTAAAATGTCTCCGTCTCCCTCTGTCTGGTGAATTTTCACCACAGTTTCCACAGTTGATTTGATATAATCTGGAACAGGACTGAAAAGACAAATGGGATGAATTCATCACTAGAATATGCCGTTAATTACAGATCAATTACCCTAATAATCTGGCAGCAAAGCTCATAAAAGTGAGTTTGGGCCTGCCCAGTAGGTAATTAGTACATTGATAAATAAAATATTCATTTTTTTTCAAATCTAATATTCAAGAATAATCCATAATTATATGTCAACTATGATTTTTAGCTTTATTTGCAAAGAAATAAAATGATATACCCATACAAACAGATGTGCTATCTTTAGTATGCAAAGACATCGGACCAATGAAAATCGGGAGCTGTGGTCCCAGTGCTAAAGCCCATGCTCTTCCCAGCCCGTTTTCCCTCCTTATCAATAGCAGCATTTATAGGTCAGCTGGATGGCCCTGATGGATGTGCTTGCTCTCCAACAAAACGATTCAGAAATCAAGTCCACAACTCTGGATTTATCAGCCACTGGAACAGGCTCCTGGTCTTTGTTTGTGCAGGGACTAGTACAGGAATTAGGATGGCCCCTTGCTTGTCCAAGTAGGCTACTCCCAAAAGTACCAACTGGGCCTTCTAGCTAGGGATGTAGAGAACTGAGAGCCAAATGATTCAAATCACCAATACTGCCCCTGCTGACATGCAGCCTTGTAAACCCCAGTTCTGAAAACTATCAAGCTTCCCTCTCCAAAACCTTTCACCACTTTTGCTCTCTCTGGCTGAGCTACTAGCCACAGACTCACGGAAACTTGCGTGTCAGTGTGAAGAGTTTAAAGTAAATTCAGCAGTGATGCAGAGCAGGGTAAAAACATTCTAGACCAATGACAAGGGACACAAAACATGCTCCTCCCCATCCTTTAGAGTTGTGAGCAAATGCAGTTCTGACATTCTACATCAGAGGCCGATGGTGATTTTCTAGTCACCATCATCAAGAATTCAAGCATCATCAAACCTTTGTAGATAAAAGATATCCACCGGAAATGTTCGCCCTTCCACTGTAAGGATCACACTTGTATCCCTTGCTGGATCACTGGTTTCATTTTGATTAAAGAAATCCCGGAATTTCTAAAAAGAAAAAAATTAATTCTTCATTTCTCTTAGAGAAAAAGGTTCATAGCGATTCATGGAGGGAAAAAAATAACATAAAACTGGCCAAACACAGGTGAGTAGCAAGGATTACATATACGCAATACAGATTACGGGTTGTAACACACATTTTTTAAATTCACATTTTTCTTTTTTTTTTTTTTTTTTTTTTTTTTGAGACGGAGTCTCGCTCTGTCGCCCAGGCTGGAGTGCAGTGGCCGGATCTCAGCTCACTGCAAGCTCCGCCTCCTGGGTTTACGCCATTCTCCCGCCTCAGCCTCCCAGGTAGCTGGGACTACAAGCGCCCGCCACCTCGCCCGGCTAGTTTTTTTTTTGTATTTTTAGTTGAGACGGGGTTTCACCGTGTTAGCCAGGATGGTCTCGATCTCCTGACCTCGTGATCCGCCCATCTCGGCCTCCCAAAGTGAAATTCACATTTTTCTAACTGCAATTGTGGGGAATCACATTTCAATGACAGTCTTTACTAAAGTTTTCATAAAAATAATAAAGGTTAGATTTCAAAAGTGCATTCAGTATAGCATCTGAGTTAACATGTAGCTGTAGTATTATTTATTTTATTCCTATCCTCTGTATTTCATTTAAGCAAAAATTAGGTCAAAGATGTGATTCAAGTTCAGTACAGGTTAGATTAGGTTGGTGCGTAACTCTATCTGGAAAACATAGATATGATCATTTGAGTTATCAATTTATAAGGAAACTTTTCCTTCTGTGAACAGTAGGTGTGTTTCTGGCCCCATTGTTAATGGTTTTAGGTCACTTGATGGCAGGGATAGTGTCTTCTCCATCTTTACACGCCCTACAGTAGTGAGTGCGAGGCTTTGCATGGGGTAGGCCATCAATCATGTACTTTTCCGACACTCGTGCAGTACCGCTGGGAGAAGTGTCTCTTGGCAGTTTCTCCCAAACAGGTGGCCACATCCTATTTAATGGTACTTGACTACCACTTGCAGCCCACAAGGAGACCTGTCTTAAGGGCTCTGGCCAATGATGGAGGAAGGAAACACCACCAAAGATCCTCTCTTGGGGAATGTGACACTAAGGTACAAAGAGAAGCTGCGACTGAGAAGAGTTAAGTGACTATGCAGGCAGGCAAGTGAGCACCAGATGGGAAGCAGCTAGTATCCACTGCAGAGGGGGCATGGATGTCCCGTCGGGTGGAGTGCTCCACGATTTGAATCTAGGTCCCCTTTCCATTCCCCACCTCTACTCATTTCCCCAAAGCCTGGCTACGTAACTGCAAAGCTTGTCTTTATTTCCCTATGTACCTTTATAAATCATGTCCATCCTGCTCCAGGAAACCCAAAAGCCCAGGAGCTGTGCTAATGAATGGCATCAAACACTAAGTGAAGGGGCTCTGAGGGGTATTTTTAAAAGAGTAAACTGGATTTAACTACAAAGTACAGGGATGTTATACATTAACCTCAAAATTGAGAAGAATAAGCACAGACATAAAAGTGCCTCAGGCCAACAAAACTATGTTTTGCTATGCAGAATTCCACACAGTACCCCTGTTCACTTTCTTTTGGGTAAATTCCCTTCAAGTTGTTTCAGCCTTCCTGCATCCCTATGACATGCACAGCACAGGTACACTAGAAGTAACACACAAACAAGTGGGAACAGAGACCCCATGCCCCAAAAGAGTAAACAGTTCACAGAAGGCAGATGTGCAAAGAGCTGATAAAATAAATCCTAAGGCAGACTGACCCTGTGACCAGGAAAGAGCTGCAGACTACAATCTGACAGAATGAAAAGTTAAGAACTACTGGCTTTCAGGGAGAGCTTCATGGAAGCGGCAATATCCCTCGCCTGCACCGTAAAGGCTAAGGAGGATTATTACTGGCTGGGAAGGGGGAGACATCCCTTACCAGGACAACAGCACAGTGTGGACTAAAATGTAAAGGGGTCCCTAAGGGAGGACAGAGGCAAGGTCTAGGGCAGGCCTCCCTCGTCTCTGGTCAGCCGTCTCATCTGCAAAATGGACAAACTGCTATCCACCCTGCAAGGTTGCTGTGAGGTTCAAATAAAGTGTGTGGGACAGCTGTGGCACACATCTAGCCTAGAATGGCACTCAATAAGTGATATTAGCCATAACTCTGAAGGGACCCAAGTGCTGAGCTGCACTGACACTTTATCCAACCGGCAAGACAAGGGCAGTGAGGATGGGCATAATATTATCAGACCTGCGAGCTGGATCCCGGACTCCAGTGGCCATTTTGGAGAAGGGCAGAGGAACTAAAAGATTCAAGGCAAACAAACTAATTAATGAAGCTATCATAATAGTGCAGGGGAGACAAAGTGTGAACCTGGGCAAATCATTTCAGAAATACAACTGGTAGGAACTAGCAATCAGTGAGTGAGTGTGCACACATGTGCACATTGGAAAGAAGGCTGGAGTGACTTCTTACTCAACCGGGGATAAAAACTTCTTAAAGAAATGGAGGTCTTGGTCTGAATGATCACGAGAAAGAGACTGAGATGGAGAATCCGAGAGTCACAAGTTTATGAGTTTAGGATGTCCACAGCTAGCCAGCTGCCAGACAGCTAAGGCTAGTGTGCAGGCACACAGTCAAGACTGCCACAAGCATGAAGGCTCAGCTGAACTAGGGGTCACAGGGGTGTGCAGCCTTGAGGGGGAAGAGCAGACAGAGAAGGAGCCCAAGAGGAAGCCAACAAGGAGGTGGGAGAGGGGAGTTGGCAGGGCTCCAGGAGCTCTGGAAGGAGGAGGAGGAGGAAGATTTTACCAAAGGGCTTGGACAGGGGTGAATGTTACCAAAAAGGCAAGCAGAACAAGGAAGAAGATGATGCCTTGACAATTTTATTAGAGTGGATGCCTAAACCTTACCATTAAGGAATACATGGTACTGAAAAGTAAAGATAGGGAGTTACTCTTTCAAGAATTAAGTCTCGGCCAGATGCGGTGGCTCATGCCTGTAATCCCAGCACTTTGGGAGGCCAAGGCGGGTGGATCGCCTGAGGTCAGGAGTTCAAAACCAGCCTGGCCAACATAGTGAAATCCCATCTCTACTAAAAATGCCAAAAAAAAATGGCTGGGCATGGTGGCGGGCGCCTGTAATCCTAGCTACTAGGAAGGCTGAGACGGAGAATCGTTTGAACCTGGGAGGCAGAGGTTGCAGTGAGCCAAGATCGCGACATTGCACACCAGCCTAGACAACAAAAGCGAAACTCCGTCTCAAAAAAAAAAAAGAATTAAGATTCAGCATTTACTGAGAAGGCACAAGACCTTTAAGATCTTTATCTTGTATCTTTATTTGGAAATACAAAATACATTAAAAAAATAAATAAATATAGTACCAACAATGCAAGAATCTTGAGGCAGGATCAAGGAACAAGAAGAGCAAAATGAGTTCAACACACCCAGAAAAGAGGAGTTTGAGTCAGGTTTGAAAGAGGTGGGGTCACATTGACATATAGACACGGTAAGAAGCGTACATCATATAAAGGCAGGGGACAGTCTATGAAATGGAATGTAAATGATGTGGCCATCTGCAGGGTTGTCTTCTAGCTCACCATAGGCTCCTTCCCTGGTAGCTGCTCCTTCCTAATCCACCGGAGTGGCCGCCAAGCAGCCATGTCTACCCAAGACACCCATCCCTTGGCCAACAGCCCTTGGCCCATGTAGACAGGTCCAGGGTGGGGACCTGACCCCAGCTGATCCTAAGTTCCTTCTCTAAGAACCTGAAAAGAGAAATTTAGTCTCTCTTCAAGTAGCTGGACTTACGACAAAAAAACTATGGGAACAGTAACCACATATTCTGCCATGTAGTTGGATGCAAATAAAAGAAAAGCAATATCATAATATCATGTGATACAGGATCAATAAATACTTCATAATTATATCCAGTCATGTTACATAATTGTTCGTTTAAATGGGCTTACATTAAGAAAGCAGCTAAAGCAACCAAAGCAGCTATTTGATCCGCCCCATCATGCTCTGCTGGTCTCTGCCTCCCGGCTGCAGCCGCTGCTGTCTTCATCTGCAGGCTGGGCCACCCCAGTCGCTGAGAGAAACCACAGCAGGTGGCCTATCAGCAGCCCTAGCTCTAGGAGGTTTGAAATTAGTCTATCACCCACAGACCGAGCCACTGGGGGCCAGGGGATGAGTTCTGGACTTCCCTGGGTCTCCAGATCAAAATGTTTCCTAAGCCACACCCAACCCCACTGCCACTCCCACATGGTCCTCCTCGTTCTTGCCCTCTTTCGCCCACTCATATCCTCTTTCTTTCTTTCACTCACATACAAATTCACATCCCATACCTCACATAGGCCGCTCACACACGGACCCACAACCCACACAGAGATGACTCACACACAGATCCCCCATTCAGAGACACACAGAAACCACTGTCCACTTCACACAGGAGGTACCGGCTGAGCAGTGAGGATGGGATAAGAAGGAATGGCCCAGCTCACCAGGGTCCAGCATGTCCTGTACCACAGCAGAGCAAGGCAGGACAAAGTTCCTACATGCTGCCTTCTTGCTTACAAAACTGCTTCCAGAAAGTCATCTATATCAACTACCATAGACAGAACTGAAAGAAGCTATTTTTTTCATCTCTGTGTCACACCAAGACAATAAAAGGCAATTGTGAACAATTAGTATTAATTAACAATGAATCTGGCCGGGCGCGGTGGTTCACGCCTGTAAATCCAGCACTTTGGTAGCCCAAGGCAGGAGGATCACCTGAGGTCCGGAATTCGAGACCAGCCTGGCCAACATGATGAAACCCCATCTCTACTAAAAATACAAAAATTAGCCAGGCATAGTGGCTCACGCCTGTAGTCCCAGCTACTCAGGACACGGAAGCACGAGAATCACTTGAACCTGGGAGGCAGAGTTTGCAGTAAGCTGAGATCACACCACTGCACTCCAGCCTAGGCAAGAGAGACTCGGTCTCAATAAATAAATAAATAAATAAATAAATAAATAAATAAATAAAATGCATCTAAGAAAAGACTTGGACATTACAGTTTTGAACATAATAAAAACTGGAATAATTTTTAACTTAATTTAATAATTTTTAAGGAGGGAGTGAAAAAGAGATAGAGATGTTCCGTGTAATGTGGCCACAGAGGAGCTAACTAGAGGTGAAGTCAGCCATAGTCCACAAAATAGCATGCCAGCAGATACCATGGGTGAGGGAGATGACAATTAAACAGGGCAAGAGAGGAGCTTTAACCCAAAAGTTGCCATGGGCAGACCTAAGACAACAGACTCCTACAGCCTGTGGAAAGGTCTGAGAAACCAGTCTCCGGACACATTGGACACTCACCTTCGCCATGCTGCGCTTTCTCTCTCTCCAAGTTGTTCTGTTTCCCAGGAGCCAGGAGCCAGGGACCACATCTCACTTGGATTTCAGAACTGGCCTCCATATCTACTGGAGACTCCGTATCTACTCTTGTCTCTCATACACAGCACTCAGAATGATCTTTCTAGAGCTCAAACATGATGAAGTCACTGCCCTCTCTCACATGTTCCCATGGCTCCCAACCAGACATAGGATGGAGTTCATCCTCTCTGGCTGAGCATGTAAGGCCTTCCGTCATCTGACCCTAACCTCCCCATTTTAATCTTCCATTGCTTTCCATTCAATCAAAATTCATTCAACCCAAGTGCCTATTCTGTGCCAACCATTGTTTTAGGTAGAAGGGACAAAATGAGACAAAGTCCTGATCTTAATGGAGCTCATGTTTTAGTGACAGGAGGCACACAATAAACAATGCATATAATGTTAAGTAGTGATAGACAAGTGATAAACATAAAAAAAAAATCAGAATAAGGGAATAAAGAGCATTTGGGGTGCTGTTTTAGATAGCGCCTCTCTGAGGAAGTAACAAATACTCAAAACTGGAATGAAATTAGGAGAGAACCTTAGACTGTCTGGGGAAGAATGATCTAAAAAGAGGGTTCCTCCAGAGCATAAGCATGCCCGGGTTGTTTTGAGGAACAGCAAAGGGACTAGCGAGGCTGGAATGGAGGGAGCACTGGAGAAAGTGGAAGAAAATAAGGTCAGAGAGGAAGTTCGGGGGTAATTCACCCATAAAGGTCTGGCAGGTAAGATAAGACTCGAAGCTCCGTGAACTCATAGTCATGTCCCTGTGATTTCATTTATGCTTAGGGTGCCCTTCCCCACCTTCATCCATCTGGAAGACAGCTGTCCATCTTTCAAGCACAGCTGGTACGTCACCACCTTTATGAAAGTTTCTGGGCACCCCCCGGCTGGCTGGAGTTAAGGGCTCCCTCCTTGGCTGCCTCAGTACTTTGAACACACTGAACTGCAAACATCTATTTTTGCATGTATATATAGCAAGTGGTCAAAAGTATTTGTTGAGTTGAGCTGCTGTTTAAACTATCGGTCATCAAGAGAGAAAAATAAGTAAACCTAGCCATAAAAAACTTCAACATGGAAATTATTATACATACAGGATAAACTTTTTTTTTTTTTTTTTTTGAGGTGAAGTTTCGCTCTTGTTGCCTAAGCTAGAGTGCAATGGAGCGATCGCGGCTCACTACAACCTATGCCTCCCAGGTTCAAGCGATTCTCCTGCCGCAGCCTCCCAAGTAGCTGGGATTATAGGGATGCGCCACTACGCCCAGCTAATTTTGTATTTTTAGTACAGACGAGGTTTCACCATGTTGGCTGGGCTGGCTTCAAACTCCTGACCTCAAGTGATCCGCCTGCCTCAGCTTCCCAAAGTGCTGGGATTACAGGTGTGAGCCACCATGCCCGGCCCAGGAGAAACTTCAATTGCACAGAAAAATCTAAATATATATGGTATAGTCATAAATAAATTCAAGAAATACAGACTCATACTGAAAAGATAATAAAAAGAAGCTGCCTAAGTGGGGAGAAAGACAGAATGTAGATAAACAAGACAGGTAGGTAATTATGAACTTAATTAATTACAGGCTAATTTCCACCCACAAGCTGAAAAGGAGTATCCTCTGACTCTATGAAATCTAGGACATCAGATGGTCCCATAAAGAAGGTAGGCCATTCTGCCAAAGATAAGCTCTTGCTAGAGGTAACTTCCCAAGGATATATAGGACGAAAGTGTTTGTGAGGAGAGGAAGAAAGGGGAGGAAAGGCTCTTACGTCCGCATCCAGAGTGGCTGAAGCCACAATCAATCGAAGATCCCCTCGCTTTTTCTGAATCTAAAAAAAGAAGACATTAAGAAATAATAATAGTGCAATACTTATGGATGAGATCATTTGATATCTGAAATGTATTTCAAAATTCAGTGTTTTTGTTTTTGTTTTTGTTTTTTTGCCTGAGGAGGAGGTAGGGGAGCTTACAGATGAAAGGACTGACTACAAATTAATAATTGTCAAAGGTAAAGCAGGGGGGTCATTACACTATTATTTCTAATTTGTAAATGTATGGAATTTTCCAAAGTAAATTTTTTTAATTATAAAAACTATAAAGAAGCTTTAAGACCCAAATCTGAATTTGCTGCGAATAAAACCATTTTTTCCTGAAACCCAGGTCTCAAGATAGTTTGAATCTATGTATGAAAAAGTATATTAAAAGCAAACAAACAATAAATGATAACACCAAGACAGAAATATGGCAAAAAAAAAAAAAAGAGGTAAAAGATATTAAGTTACTCAAAGAAACACATAATCAACAGGCATTAGAGAAGTGATCAAATGAGATACAGCTAAGATATATAATAACAATGAGATTTTTTTCCCCATCTATCCCATTGGCAAGCATTTATTTTTTTAAGGCTAATACTCAGTGTTGGCAAAAATTCAGTGAAATCGGTCCTCTTATTATACTGTTCCTGAAAAAGGTAATAACATGGTACAATAATTCCCTCAAAGTATCAAAAAATCTAAATCTTTGGCAATGGAATCATAATGAAAGTAGTAATAATAACAACTAATACAGACTAACTTATGTGCTAGCCCAGAGGCCCTGCATACAGGTACACAGTATACCCACTGTGCAAAGATGCCTGGCTGAGAGGGCTAGGGCCATCAGCAAGGCAGCCCACTTGCCTCCTACCTAGCTCTAGACATCCTCCCAGAGGGGACATCTTTTTCTAATTTGCACAAAAGAACCTCACAGTCTAGCTGTGACCCTATGCCAGGCACTAACCTAGAAGTTTTTTGCTATCTTACTTAAGCTTCAAAACAAATCACAATATACAGCACCTATGTCTAACAGAACTCTCTGCAATGACGAAAACTTTATTTGTACTGTCTAATGCATAAGCCACTAGCCACCTGTGGCTACAGAGCCCTTGAAAAATAGCCAAAGTGGCCGGGCACAGTGGCTCACGCCTGTAAACCCAAGACTTTGGGAGGCCGAGGCAGGCGGAGTTCGAGACCAGCCTGACCAACGTGGAGGAACCAAACCCCACCTCTACTAAAAATACAAAATTAGCAGGGCATGGTGGCACATGCCTGTAATCCCAGCTATTCGGCAAGGCTGAGGCAGGAGAATCGCTTGAACCTGAGAGGCGGAGATTGCAGTGAGCCAAGATCACGCCACTGTACTCCAGCCTGGGCAACAAGAGAAAAACTCCGTCTCAAAAAAAAAAAAAGAAAAGAAAAATAGCCAATGTGACTGAGAACCTGAATTTTTTTACTTTCTTCTATTTTAATTAACTTTTATCTCAATAGCCACAGGTGGCTAGTGGCTACCATAGAGGAAAGTACACCAGCACAGATATAGAGACTCCTATTATCCCATTTTAGAGATGAGTAAACTCAGCAAAGTCAGAATTTGAACCCAGGTAGTCTGACTCAATGCCTATGCTTTTAATCGCCCTGTTCTACCACTTCTTTCTAGACTCTAATTGGGAATCTGTCCAAAGAAAACAATCAGAAAATATGGGAAGGGAAGAGAGAGTGGAGGTAAGATTGAAACAAAATTGGCTGTGAGTTGTAATTGTTGAAGCCAGATGATGGGTACATGGGGGTCATTATATACTTCTTTGGGATATGTCTGAAACCTTAATAAGAAAGAAAGAAACAGAAATGTAGCAGATTTAATTACAAGGGTGCTCGCTGCAACAGTATTTATAATATTTAAAATCTGCAAGCTATATAAATTGCTAACAGTAGGGGAAGTTAAATACTTTATGATAGAGATGTGATTAAATAACCATTAAAAATAGTATCTTCAGAGAATATTTAAATGACACAGAAAAATGATCCTAATGTAATGTTAAGGGAAATATGAAAGATACAAATTAGTATATATAATTCAATCAATCCCTAGTATGCCAAAACAGATCCAAGTACACACACACACACACATACAGAAAAGAGAAGAAAACATACCAACATTTTACTGCTGATATTCTCTGAATGGGTAGGATTACGGATGATTTTAATTTTCTTTCTTGGTATTTTGTTTTATTTTCCAAGTTGCTACAACTGTTTTTGTAATGGGGCAATAAAATAAACACACACAATAAAAAGCTAGCAGTAAAGTCATACCTTTTTTAGCAAGCCAATGGCAATATCAGTGTACAAGGTCCTCTCGTGGGCTTCATCCAGCATGATGACACTAAGAATCAAAGAGAAGCTCTCAGTGAGCCTCTAAAAAAACTACACATCATCTCATCTAGACCATCAAAGAGCCAGCCTCTGGGTATTTAGTCCTCATACAATCGGTCTGCATCAAAAGTAAACCTAACCTACTCTTCTTTGACAAAGAGGCAATTCTTAGGTTAATAAAAACGGTGACAATAACATATCTGAATTTTAAAAAGTGTACTATTGTTATCTTTAAGGGTTTTACCATTCACACTGAATTCCAACTGAATTTAATATCTGATTTTAAATGAAAACATAACCTATAACCCCACAGAACACATAAAAATCAGAACAAAGCCCAACCACCTGAAGACTGTTAAGCTATAACAACAGTCAAAGAGGTAGCTGACTACAGTTGTGACATACGTGGAACAGGGGGTCAAATGTGACACCCTCCTCGAGAATACCACAGCCTGGGTAGGACAGCTTTAATGCTATGAGTGACAGACAGATATACAAGGAGGGGGAAAGTGATAAATTATTTGGACTCTGTAAATTACATTTAACATGGGCCAGTTAGTTCTCTGCAGTCACCATCAATACTGGAGTGTGACAAGGCAAAATAAAAAGGACAAGTTACTAGAGTAAGTAAAGACAGGAATTTTAATGTGCCCATTTTTTACTGTCTGTAAGGAGCCATACTATTTAAATTCTGAGAAAAACACCAAGGGCCCCAACAGCCAAGGTCAAGAGAAAAGCTTTGGGGAAGCTTAAAACAGACATGAATCCCAGCTACTAACACACCTGCTTCTCCATCTCCCTGGGGACTTTGGAAACTAGGAAAGCTATCATAAGAAAAACACATTTACCTATATTTTGTTAACAACGGATCAACCATCATTTCCCTGACCAGCATTCCATCAGTAAGAAACTAAAAAATAAAAACACAAAGCTTTAGAAATAATTCACTTACACTAAATATTAATGGTATTTTTTAAGTTCAAGTGCAATCTCTTTGCCAGATGTGTACAAGTAAATTCCCACAAAGGACTGTGAGAAAATGCCTCCATATCTTCATTATCGAGCAATGTAATTGTTTACAAAAGGCTTTAAACATTGGGTCCTCGGCTGGAGTTGCAAATCTTTGAACAGAATTTCACTTGCATTTATTATGGAAACATCAGCTAAGCCCCATTTCCTCTGGGCTTGCACCACTAGTATGATAAAGAGGCAGTGAAGACCAATTGGTATCTGCCCAAAGAAACACCCTAAGTCTAAGATAAATTGCTCTTCAAATGTCCCAAAGACTACAGATTGCAGTTCTTGATGTTATTAACTTAAACTTCAACTAATATTATTTCACAGAATCTAGACAGGATCATGGTTAAGCACATGGGCTACGGTGTCAGATTGCTGGGAGTTCAGATCCTGGTTCTACCTCTTACTAAGCTGTGTGAACCTTGGGCAAGTTACTCATCTTCTCTGTCCCTGATTGCTCATTTGTAAAATGAGGTAATCAAAGTATTTACCTCACCAAGTTAATGTGAAAAATAAATAAGATAGTATAGTAGTTCCTGGGTATCCTTGGGGGTTGGTTCTAGAAACCGCCCCTCTCAGCCCACACCAAAATCTGCAGATGCTCAAGTCCATTATATACAATGGCATAGTATTTGCATGTAACCTATGCATACCCTCCCATATACTTTAAATCATCTCTAGATTATTTAGAATGCTTAAAACAATGTAAATGTTGTGTAAATAGTTGTTATACTGTATTTTTTAAAATTTACATTATTTTTTATTTTTTAATATTAGTAATTCAAGGTTCGTTGAATCCACAGACACAGAACTCGCAGGATGCGGAGGACTGACTGTACATGTAAAGCATTTAGCATAGGATCTAGGGCAGAGTAGTGCTCAAGAAAAGTCAGCTAATATTATTTAAGATTAATGAATCTATAATGCTTCAGAAACATACAGTAACAGCCTTCTTAACGTACTGAATTTGTTTTCAGGTTAAACCATCTCCCTTGCATGCTGTATCTTAGTGTTTTTTGCTTTTTTTGTTTTAAGAGCAGGATGCATTACCATCATATTTTTCTTGGACCTGGTACTAGCTGCCACATACATATGTAAGAGCGAAAGTGAGAACTTGCCACCAATGACAAATCACCAGTCAAGAACTGAGCACCTTGAAATTGTGACCAAATGGAATACAAAAGGTTTTTATGGATGGCTCAAAGGTTTTTATGGTTATGCAAACCACTGAAAATTAGCTAGTTCAAATATATTTGATGGTACAGAAAAATATTCCCTTCACCTAGCAAAATGAATGTTACAAAATATAGTAATCCGGAAAGTAAGGTCCATATTTTTATAAATCGCTACACTGGTCATTCAGTTCATCTGATTTTCAATTTTTCCTCTGTTGCAAATTAAGAGGTAACTGAGATTCTAATAACCAATTTTCATTTCATCATTACTGCACTGACTGATTAGACTTTGATTCTAGCACAGTGGTAGGTAGTAGGCAGACACCCTGTTGAGTTGATTATACACTGATTACTATTGATACTAATTACTTTAATATTAGCAAGGAGGCCAAAGAACACACATATAAAATCCACTTTCACATGTAAATGGAAAATTACTAATTAGTGAAACAACATTCATGAATTCTACACTTCATCAACTTATACTACTTGGTCTCTATTTTCAAGTCTTTTACAGGCTTGTTTCTATATTTCGATAGCTATTTGAGTCAGTGAAAATACAATAAAATACACATAAGAAAAGACAGCTTTGAGTCTTGGTCCTATCACTGATTAGCATATAATATCAGGCAAGTCATTCAACCTTCCAAGCCCTTAACCTCTTCATCTTTGGAACCAAGGACTAAACCTTACTTCCAATCTCCTTTCTGGGCTAATACTGCAGGACTCTTTGAAAGAGCTCTGTGTCGCCGGGTGCGGTGGCTCACACCTGTAATCCCAGCACTTTGGGAGGCCAAGGTGGGCGGACTGCGAGGTCAGGAGATCGAGACCATCCTGGCTAACACGGTGAAAACCCGTCTCTACTAAAAATAGAAAAAAAAAAATTAGCCGGGCATGGTGGCGGTTGCCTGTAGTCCCAGCAACTTGGGAGGCTGAGGCAGGAGAATGGCATGAACCCGGGAGGCGGAGCTTGCGGTGAGCTGAGATCGTGCCACTGCACTCCAGCCTAAGTGACAGAGCAAGACTCCGTCTCAAAAAAAAAAAAAAGAAAGAAACAGTTCTGTGTCTCCCAGCTGACTAAAGTCTCTGAATGTCAGGATAATTTTCTTCACTTTCTGCCATGGTATCAATGTCCTGTATAGCAGCAAGGGCTACATGTTTTTAATTCTCCCAAAATAATCTTCTTCCTTATTTCCACTAGGAAAAGCAGCTTGAGCACTTTACCTTAATTCTCGTGGCCAGCTGGTCGGTGCAGTCATCAAAGCGGATGCAGTAGCCCACCTCGTGGCCCAGCACTGCACCCCTTTCTTCAGCTACTCTCCCTGCAACCTTTGGGAAGAAAGATCATGCTGAAAATAGAGACATAGAAATTACTGCACAGAGCACATACTATGGAAAATCTAAAGGTCATTTATATTTTAAATAGTATGTGAACACAATGAAAAATGAAAGACAAGTTATTAGAGAACAAGCATAATAACTTTTACAATTATTATTATTATTATTATTATTATTATTATTGAGACGGAGTCTCACTCTGTCACCCATGCTGGAGTGCAATGGCACAATCTCGGCTCACTGCAACCTCCACCTTCCAGGTTCAAGCAATCCTCCTGCCTCAACCTCCTAAGTAGCTGGGATTACAGGTAAGCGCCACCAGGCCCAGCTAATTTTTGTATTTTTAGTGGAGACAGGGTTTCGCCATGTTGGCCAGGCTGATCTCGAACTCCTGACCTCAAGCAATTTGCCCACCTCAGTCTCTCAAAGTGCTGGGATTACAGGTGTGAGCCACCATCCCCAGCCAATTATTAACTTATATATCTCACTTCATTCTATAAAGGTCTTGGGGCAACTTACAAGAACATACACAACGAAAACCAAAATCACATAAAAATGTTATAGATCAAGATCCAAAAAATGACAGAAAAAAATTCAAAAGATCAAAGCCAATGAGAAAATGTTAAACATAGATATGCCAAAGTTATTCAAGTTGAGCCACAAATTCAGCTCTAAATTTGGTGGCCAAAGCAAAAAGGAAAGTAAAAGAAACGACAAGATTCACCCCGTTCCTAAAGAAAGGGCACACTGACCAGGGACAGCGTTTCATCTCCACGCTCGAAAAGAAAACCCATCCCCCTGGACCATGAGGACAGAACAGGAATTACCATATTCAATGCCAGGTCAGTTTCATTTTCTCATTGAAGGCAAAAAGGTAAGTTTCAAGAGTGAGATACCTGAAACAGTTCACAACTGTGTTCCAGCTGCCAAAGCCATTGAGAGGGGAAATACAGACTAAAACTCGGGTTTAAAATAAAGAGGGCAGATGAGTGGATGAGAAGATTAACAAAAAATCCAAGGTAGCATAATAAAGTGAAAGACAAAATATGTAATACATTATGAAGACCATAAACTATAGACAAAATTTCACCCATCAAAACATAACAAATAAAAAGTGAATGCAGGAAAGAGAAATATGAATCCAACAGCAAGATCTCTGCATTCCCCCCAAGAAGGCTATTCAAAAGTTAACTTATTAATAGAAAATATTTAAAAGAATGAATAAGCATAAAAGTAGAAAAGCAATAATGAGTATCATTTAGTTTAATTTAAAAGAAAATAGGACCGGATACGGTGGTTCACACCTATAATCCCAGCAATTTGGGATGTCGAGGCAGGCAAATCACCTGAGGTCAGGAGTTCAAGACCAGCCTAGCCAACATGGTGAAACCCCATCTCTACCAAATATACAAAAAGTTAGTTGGGCATGGTGGCATGCGCCTGTAATCCCAGCTACTCGCAGGAGGCTGAGGCAGGAGATGCCTGAACCCAGGAGGTGGAGGTTGCAACGAGCTGAGACCACCCCACTGCACTCCAGCCTGGGTGACAAAGAGAGGCTGTGTTGGGAAAAAAAAAAGAAAGAAAGAAAAGAAAGTTTAGTATTCACCACCACATAAACTACCTAAATGAAAAGAACCAAAGGGAAGCAATATTAATAGGTTTCCCAGGGACCCAGCACACCAATCCCCACAGAAGGAAGGAGTTCAGCTCCCTCTTTCACAGGTGAGACAACCTCCCCAGCACCCACGCAGTTCCCAGGTGCTGACTTTAGAACATGGCTGGCACAGGAGGTGTCCTGAGGCAGAGCTTACTGCTCCAGCCTTTCTACCCCAGCAGCCCCAGGTTCAGGAAGGCAGAGGTTCTCTGCACTCAGCTTCTGAGCCAGGCACACCCAGGCGTTTCCTGCCCATCAGTGTTTAAGACACTGAAGAGCAGATGAGGATCAGAAGCAGCTCTGCCTGGTGACTCGAAATTACAGACTGGGGAGGCCAAAACCAAATCAATCATCCAGCAGCTGGTCTATAACATGTAGGCTTTCAAAACATCTGATGAAACCAGAAAGTTATCCCACACTGCTCTACCTCTGGTTGGTTGTATTTCCCAATGACCAGCATTTCACCAGGACAGACTTGTTCTTGTTATTGTTCCAATTTCAGCCCTACATGTCATTATATTATAAATCTCAGAATATGGTACAGGTAGAGAATGTATGCATAGAGATACTAGGAACTGATGGAGAAAACAGGCTTATAAGAATGAGCATACATAAATATATACACCTACAATGTACCCACAAAAAAAGTTAAATTTTAAAAAATGAGCATAAATTAACGAATCTCTGTAAAAATATAATCATTTTACGGGTCTATAAGGTAAAAGCCAAACCTGTTTATTCTTACTCCTTCACTATTTGAATACATCTGCTATAAAAACTATTTTTATTTTCAAACTCTATTTTTAAATTTTTATTATTTATAATCACACAAGGTTATATTCTATTGGTTTTTTAATAGATTTTTATCTCTTATCACTTTAGTTCTGCTCCCAATAACCTCATCAACTAGACTGGACAAATACTATCTTTTTGACAGACCAAAAGGAAAGGGAGGTAAAAAGACCAAAAAAAAAAAAATCACTGAGCACCTACTACTGGCAAGTACTGTGCTCTAAGCTTTCACAAATTTGCATCTCATTAAATATACACACAGCCCATGAGGCAGACAAGACACTATGGTATTTACAACTGAGGAAACTGAAATAAGACAGGTGTTAGAGCTTATTCTGAATCATGGGTCCGGGAGGACCTGGTCTTGAAGTCAAACCGAGGCCACATGAGTTCAACAAGCATCCTCATTACTAATTGCCTCTCTCAGAGATCAAGCAACAGCTTATGCAATCTGTTTTTAGGCTCTGAGATTGTTTGCAGATTTTAGTCTGCACATAAAGCACTTTCTGAGATGTAGCATCTCAAACTTGACAGCTCTATTAATATTACATGCTCTTTGCTCTTTCAAGAGAAAGCTGTGGTTTCATGGAAGTTATCCATGGCTACAAATTTGGAACTGAAATGCAAACTGATTAAGAGCTGGGATTCCAAACCACAAACAGGAAAAATTGCTCTAATTTTTAGGTAACTGAGTCATCTTTTAGTGACAAAAAAGATTAACTCCAGCATTTCAACTTAGTTTCCAAACTGTTACCACCATTTTCATACAAAAACACAACACACACACATAACTTGTAAAACTGTATAACTTCTTAATTGAACACCATTAGAAAATGAACTTTGGGCAAAATGACGACACAATAATTAAAACTCAGTAAGAACAAAAATAACTTGGGGAAATAGAATTAATTTCTTGTCCAGGTAAAGACTGCAAACTAAAGGCCCTACTTCCTTTTCTATAAGCTTTTTTTTTTTTTTTTTTTTTTTTTGGAGATAGGGTAAAGGTTGGAGTACAACTCACTGCAGCCTTAAAACTCCTGGGCTCAAGTGATCCTCCTGCCTCAGCCTCCCAAGTAGCTGGGACCACAGGCAGATGCCAGCATGCCCAGCTAATTTTTTAAAAAATTGTTTTGTAGAGACAGGGTCTTGCTATGTTTCCCAGGCTGTTCTCAAACTCCGAGGCTCAAGCAATCCTCTTGCCTCAGCCTCCCAATGTGCTGGGAATACAGGCATTAGCCACCACACCCAATCTCTCAGAGCCAATTCAAAAACGACAAAAGAATTTAAACATACTATCAACGAAAAACTTATGGTGGCTCCGACTTCTACACAGTGATCCTCAATTGCCAAAAGGCAGTGAGCAAAGTCTGCACAGTTCGCAGGGACAGCATGAATCAAGAATTTTATATCAACAAAAACCACAACTGAACATTCTCAAGCATATTAAAAAAAAAAAAAAAAAAAAGCTGAACGATAAAATTCAGCCAATATAAGAAATCAAAGGAAAACAAGCAATTAAAGGTTGGCAAAACCATGGAAAATAACTAATGATGAGTACTGAATCCATTTAAGCTAGAATTAAGGTTAAACACCTGTGAGAATTATGATTAAGAACATGTACGTTATAAATATTGAAATGAAAATGACAGGACTGTATCTACGACAAATGGAGAAAGCAAAGGTGGAAAGAAGAATACATGCTAATTTCCTCTTCTTTCATAACAGGAAACTATAAGGTATAATTTGAAATATAGGTAACATCCTGAGGTTTTTTGTACTCTTTCTTCTTACTTTTCAAGCTTTAATAAATTATCTTGTGGTGAACATTTATCCAAAGTACAGTCGCTACTCCTATTTCACTAAAGTTTCCTATTTTGTTAAATTCAATAAAAAATAAATATTAAATATGATCTCATTTTTATAAAATTATTTCTATCCAGCCAGTCAACCATTCATCTTCACCTTTAAGAGAAGCTTGGAATGATGTTCACAAATGTTCACATTGTTTATGTTGGATGGTGAAATGTGGGGCTTAAAAAATATTTTGTTTTTTTTATTTCCTCAGCACTTTATTACTTAAAATGTTCACAATGTGCAGGATCAATTTAACAAAAATATTCAAATCGTAATTCTTTTAAAACTGAAGACCTGGCCAGGCACGGTGGCTCATGTCTGTAATCCCAGCACTTTGGGAGGCCAAGGCGGGCAGATCACAAGGTCAGGAGTTTGAGACCAGCCTGGCCAACATGGTGAAAACCCATCTCTACTAAAAATACAAAAAATATTAGCCGGGCGTGGTGGCACATGCCTGTAATCCCAGCTACTCGGGAGGCTGAGGCAGGAGAATTGCTTGAACCCGGGAGGCAAAGGTTGCACTGAGTTGAGATCCCTCCATTGCACTCCAGCCTGGGTGACAGAGTGAGACTCTGTCTCGGGAAAAAAATTAAAATAAAAAAAAAACACAAAAACTGAAGATCTACATTCTTAAGGAGCAACTTCTATTCATTTAAAGCCTTTAGGAAATGTAAACAAATCACAAATGTAGACAACACAGATAGAATCTTTCCAATACAAAAAGAAACTCACTGTAACAGCAGCCACTCTCCGAGGCTGGGTCACTCCTACCACTCTTCCTTCGGCTGTCCAACCGGCTTCTGCAAGGTACTACAAACAAAATCACATATAAGTATACATATGACACCACTTTTCCAGAACAATCTCCCCCAAGATGCTCCCATACTGTGTTAAAGTCACTAAGAAAGGAAAAAGCACAGTTATTGTCCCAGCAGAACTTTGGGAATTATTTTACAGATGGACAATCTGAGTCTTGGTAACGTTAGGTAATTAAGTTCACATCAAAGCTGATCAACAGAAGAACTAAGGCACAATTCCAGCATTCTGACACCCCAGTCCTGGAAAATCACCATGTTCTACAGAAGCCTCAAGGAACAAAAAATTATCCATAGGTCACTCAAAACAGTGCTAAATCTGTAGAACAAAGAATTTTTAAGCACATATAGAGATGGCTCAATATAAATATCAACCATACAACACATTTCAGTCATATTAAATACAACAACTGGATTTTATATATATGACTACATACCATTAGATTATATTAGTACACATATATAAAATTTGATTGACCAGGAACGGTAACTCATACCTGTAATCCAGGCAGATCACTTGAAGTCAGGAGTTCAAGACCAGCCTGGCCAACATAGTGAAACCCAGTCTCTACCAAAAATATAAAAATGTAGGTGGGTGTGGTGGCATGTGCCTGTAATCCCAGCTACTCAGAAGGCTGAAGCAGGAGAATCACTTGAACCTGGGAGGTGGAGGCTGCAGTGAGCCAAGATTGTGCCACTCCACTCCAGCCTGGGTGACAGAAAAAGATTCTGTCTCAAAAATAAATAAATAAATAAAAGTAAAAAATTTTTTAAAAACAATTTGCTTAAGTGTATTTATCTGAGTTATGTACTTATTTAATATCTATGTATTTATTTGATTATATGCACTTAAAATCCAATATGGATAACAGTGGTTATCAGTTACATGTTTTTCTAACATCTAATTGTTTTACAATGAACATATATTACTTCAACACTAGAAAAAACATTCTAAAAGTTATTGCATCTATCTGCTCATGTGTTCAAAAGAAATAAAGGAAGGATAATATAGATACTAAGAAAATGGTTGTCTACAGGGAATGGGTGGGAAAGTCGTAGAAAGAAGGGGAAATGGAGGCAAGGTAACAGGGATAAAGAGGGCGTGTCAATGCTCTCAGTAGATCTTTTTATGTAGCTCTGACTCTCAGAACCATAGCCATGCATGTTTCTCATACTTTTTAAATACCCAAAAGACAAATAAAACCAACCAGGATGTGGAGGGAAACCTAAAGGAAATACAAACACTAACAGATGACCCTTTCTATACTACAAATGAATAACATAACCACACTGCAGGGGGTGGAGAAGAAAAGAACAAACCTAGGTAATGATGGAAAAATATATCTTGACTGGATGTTGTAAGGCTAAGGACAGAACTGGACATAAACGCTGTAATATAGTTAGTAAATATCCAAACAAGGTTATGAGTTAGCAATTCTGAAACTATTTTAATGAATCCATAAATATACTGTAGATAATAAGGACTAAGCTTCTCATTGTTGCAGAGAAGTTATAAATAAAGAAAGGCTCAAAGGAGCCCTATAGTATTAGACTGGAATCAGAAGCATCTGCATAAACTCATGGTGTTTAAGATATAGATGGATAGACAGATACAGATAGCTAGATTTTTTACAATGTATTGCTTAATATTCATACATATATTTCCTAAGTCTGTGCACTGAGACTCAGCAATGACATCTAGTAGCGATGAGCACTCTAGCATCCAGATTATGATTTTTTTTTCTTTCTTTTTTTTTTTTTTTTTTGAGACGGAGTCTCACTCTGTCGCCCAGGCTGGAGTGCAGTGGAGCGATCTCGGCTTACTGCAAGCTCCACCTCCCGGGTTCATGTCATTTCTCCTGCCTCAGCCTCCCAAGTAGCTGGGACTACAGGCGCCCACCACCACGCCCGGCTAATTTTTTGTATTTTTAGTAGAGACGGGGTTTCACCATATTAGCCAGGATGGTCTCGATCTCCTGACCTTGTGATCTGCCCGATTCGGCCTCCCAAAGTGCTGGGATTACAGGAGTGAGCCACTGCGCCCGGTGTTTTTGTTTGGTTTTGGTTTTTTTTGTTTTTTTGAGATGGAGTCTCGCTTTGTTGCCCAAGCTGGAGTACAATAGCATGATCTCAGCTCACTGCAACCTCCGTCTCCTGGATTTAAGTGATTCTCCTGCCTCAGCCTCCCTAGTAGCTGGGATTACAGATATGCACCACCATGCCCGGCTAATTTTTTGTATTTTTAGTAGAGACGGGGTTTTGCCATGTTAGGCAGGCTGGTCTCAAGCTCCTGACCTCAGGTGATCTACCCACCTTGGCCTCCCAAAGTGCTGGGATTACAGGCATGAGCCACCACGCCCGGTCCCAGATCATGATTTCTAAACATCATTCTCCAATAAAAGGAACCAGGGCTTGTGTAGGAAAAATACAAGACAAGCCTGAAACATCTTGTAGTACTAGAAAGTAAGGAAGTGGTCAAAAAAATGAAAGCTTTTAGAAAGAAAACAGGAGCCAAAATGAAGGAGCTCCTAATGTTCAAAGATGAAACAATTTGAGCAACACGATAAATAATGACAGAATTGGGCTTTAACACATAGAAAAAAATAAGTATCTATGAATCCATATAGATATACGCAAATAATCTAACAAATAAATGAGGAAGAAAGCACAGTTCTTCCTTACTGAAAATTACATTTAACAAAGATAAAGGGAAAGAGGAGAAAAGAAAATCATCATTGCTGCAGACAAGATCCACCGAGGTGGATGCTAAACTTAGTAGGTGAGAGTTTGAAGAAAAGCAGAATATTTGCAGTGTGAAAATATGTCCCCCAAGATACATATCAACTAAAAAGGGAAAGACAGTAGCTTCATAGGCAAAAGTTGGAACCTTAACCAAGTGACCAAAGTTGCTATTACCAGAGACAAAACATACCAACATTATGAACCCCTGAAATGATGCACTAAGGATACAATATCATTTCTGTAGTATTCTTGCCAAAAACACAAAAGCTCCTTCTAATCATGAGAAAACATGACATAAACCCAAATTGAGGAACATTCTACAAAGTCAGTCCCATTATTTTAAAGTGTCAAGTTCATGAAGGATGAAGACATACTGAGGAATTCACACAACCTGGAAAAGATTAGGGAGAAATAACAACTAAAAGCAATGTAGGATCCTAGAACTAAAAAAGAACCTTAGTAGGAAAACTGATGAGATTTAAATAAGATCTATAGTCCAGTTACTATTATTGTACCAGTGTTAATGTCCTGCTTTCGATCTCTGTACTAGCAGCAAAGTAAAGAGTATAAGGGAATTCTGTATTGTTTTTTGCAACTTTTCTATTAGTTTAAAAGCAGTTAAAAATAAAGTTTAGAAAATGACTGTAAGAAACAAAGCATTGTAGATAATGCAGGGTTTTTGCTATAAAAACTATAAAGTTTATCTTGTATTAAATACCCACACAAAATACTACCAACCACCCCAATCAACACAAATACAAAAACAGAACTATAAGAATAATACCTAAGAGTCAATGAGCAACTTACTAAGTGCCAGGAACTGTGCTGAGTGCCTTACATGCATTACCCCATTTAATCCTCAAAACAAAACCTATAAGGAAGGTAACGTCATCTTCAACAATACACAGATGAGGAAACAAAGAGGCCACATAATTTGTTCAAGGAAACAAATAAAAATCTGTGTCCTGAACTTCAAGCTCAGCAAACTAGTCATGACACATAAACAGAACAAAACATATTATCCAACTTCAAACACACATAGCCAATCTCTTAGCAGTAGTGTTAAGTGAAAGAAAAATAATTTCCATAAAAACAAACCTGTCCATAAAGCTAGTCACCTCAATACTAGAAGACTGAATCTGTGATTCAGACTTCTACGGCCTGCTTATGATTGCTGAGAGGTGGAAATGTAAAGCTACCGAAAAAGCAGGTGTAACCCCGTCTCTACTAAAAATACAAAAAACTAGCCGGGCGAGGTGGCGGGCGCCTGTAGTCCCAGCTACTCGGGAGGCTGAGGCAGGAGAATGTCGTAAACCCGGGAGGCGGAGCTTGCAGTGAGCTGAGATCCGGCCACTGCAGTCCAGCCCGGGCTACAGAGCAAGACTCTGTCTCAAAAAAAAAAAGAGGCAGCGGCCTGTCACCACCGAGGGAGATCACTAAAACATAGCTGAAATCCATCTGAGTTCTCCACTTTTTAAGGATCACCCAATCTGGGCTTCTGGCTAAAGGACAGAATTAGGAAGAACTCTGCCAATAACAGTACTAATAAAAACTGTACTTAAGAAGAGCTTGTATTCATAGCTCTTTTTTTTTTCCTTTTTTACAGAACTCTAGTAAAAAATATATACATATCATCTAGGTTCTACCTATAGTTTGTAGAATTTCAAAATTATTAAGTATTTGGTGCTTTTGCATGTTGTTTTTTCCCCAAGGAAAGGTACCATATAAATCTAACAAAACAGAAAAACCTGCTCCGTATCCTTGCTGTAACCTTTAGTTCCTCAGTCATTCCAATTTTCCTAGGCCATAGCCCAAATCTAGCTTCACAATAAGTTGAAAACAGTGACTGTCTCAGGGACGGGGAACTGAGTGGCTAGGAGAAAGGGAATACTCCATAGGAGATGTAGCAGATATTTGGACCAATAATACAATCTATCATAATGATCTAGTCATTTTCAACGGCAAAGCTTAGGAGATTCACTTTTCACCATTTATTCCTTTGTTCTTTGTGAATTTTGTACCATGTAAATGTATTTCCTATTTTTAAAAAGTGTTTATAATAAAATGCAATTCCTTAAAATAATTCAATTCAAATGCACGTGTTTTGAGCCAGCAACCCCCATAAGTATTTTATTTATTCTATAAAAATATCTATATGTGTGCAAAATGATTTATGTGCAAACCAACTCCACTGCATCATTGTGATAATACAAAACTGTAAACAACCTAAATGTCTATCAACTGGGGATTGGT